ATTCAGTACGCCATGCCAAATTTCGTGCAAATCGAAAGATATATAGGAACTTTGGTACACCATTTACATTAAATCGGACGAAAATATATATGGGAGCTATATCTAAATCTGATCCGATTCAGGAAACTTTACACACATGAACATAGATCTAATTCATTACGCTGTGCCAAATTTCGTGCAAATCGAAAGATATATAGGAACTTTTGTGCACCATTTACATTAAATCGGACGAAAATGTATATGGGAGGTATATCTAAATCTGAACCGATTTTCAGGAATCTTAACACACATCATTCTAAGCCTAATTCATTACGCTGTACCAAATTTCGTGCAAATCGAAATATTTTAAGGGACTTTGGTGCACCATTTACATTAAATCGGACGAAAATATATATGAGAGCTATATCTAAATCTGAACCGATTTTCAGGAATCTTAACACACATCATTCTAAGCCTAATTCATTACGCTGTACGAAATTTCGTGCAAATCAAAAGATAAATAGGGACTTTAGCACACCACTTACATTAAATCGGACTAAACCGATTTTCACGAAACTCAACACACATCGTTCTAGACCTAATTCATTACGCTGTGCCAAATTTCGTGCAAATCGAAAGATATGTAGGGACTTTGGTACACCATTTACCATAAATCGGACGAAAATATATATGGGAGCTATATCTAAAACTGAACCGATTTTTCCAAATTTCAATAGGGTTCGTCCTTGGGCCAAATAAGTGACATATGCCAAATTTCATCCAAATCGGTGCACCATTTACATTAACATGGACAGACAGACCGTCGGACGGACATGCATAAATTAAAAAGTGATTCTATGCATACTCCCAAATAGAACCATGTATCTATCTCGTTTCCTTTTGCCTGTTACAAACATATGCACAAAGACATAATACCCTGTACCACAGTGTGGTGAAGGGTATAAAGATTTCCAAGCGTGTCGGTCTTGTGGGCATCTCCTCCAATTTTAATGACCACGTTCCAAGATGTTGTTTTCTTCTTCCTTCCCCTTCTACGGGAACCATCAGTAGGCTCGCTTTTATATGCCTTTTCAGGTGGGCATCCTAATTCATTCGCACAACATGGCCTAGCCAACGTAGTCGCTGCAGCCCAATACGACTGACTATGTCGATGTCCCGGTATAAATTGTAAAGCTCGTGGTTTATTCGACGCCGATATTCACCGTAGACGCAGATCGATCCGTAGATCTTACGGATAATTTTTCTTTCAAACACCGCAAAAGCTGCCTCATCAGCTTGCGCAAGTACCCATGCTTCAGATTCATATAACAGCACGGGTAGTATCAGCGTTTTGTAAAGTGTGAGTTTGGTCTGGCGGGAGGTGGCCTTGTTTCTAAACTGCTAACTTAGACTATAGTAGCTTCTGTCGGCCATTACAAGCCTTCTCCGAATTTCAAAACTGATGTCATTCGTTTTATTTATGGCGGTACCAAGGTATATAAAATCTTTAACTACCTCGAGGCTGTAGTTCTCAAGTTCCACAATTGGTCCGAGTCTACTGGACGTATTGCGCATTGATAGCATTAGCATGGTCTTCTCGCCGTTTACTGCCAGACCCACTTTGGCAGACTCCTTCTCAATTTGTTCAAAGGTGGATGTTACCGCTCTCAGTGTTCGACCCATTATGTCGATGTCATCGTCATAGGCGAGTAACATGTGTTGTTTGGTGTACAGAGTGACATTTCTGTTCACCTTTGCGTCTCATATGACCTTTTCCAGCTGGATGTTAAAAATATCACACCACAAACTAAACTGTATGAATCCTCTTTTGGTATTGAAGGGCTCCGATAGGTCCTTTCCAACTTTAACTGCTGACCTTGTGCCCGTTAAAGTTATCCTGCATAGCCGAATTAATTTTACAGGAATGCCAAACATAGACATGGCTTTATCTCAGAACGGATAGGCCTTTCGAATGCGGCTTTATAGTCGACGAATAGCTGGTATGTGTCGATATGTTTTTCGTCGATCTTTTCCAGGATTTGGCACAGAGTGAAAATCTGGTTAATGGTGGATTTGCCTAGTCTGAAGCCGCATTGGTATGGTCAAATAATGTCATTGACCATTGGCTTCACACAGCACGCTGGATAGCACTTTATATGCGATGGGAAGAAGACTAATTCCTCTATAGTTGGCACATATCGTTTTGTCTCCTTTTTTGTGCACAGGACACTGAATGCTAAGGTTCCAATTATTGGAATCACCTGAAGCATGCTCATTACCAGCATCTGACCACCAGTCTTGAATAGTTCGGCTGGTAACCCATCGGCTCCTGCTGCTTTATTGTTCTTAAGCCGATAAATTGATTTTATGACCTCATCTTAGCTAGGTGGTATACACTCTATACCATCATCTGATTATTGGTTCTGGGGTATCTTCTTCACCGCCACTATTTGATACCAAAAGTTCATCTCTACAGGAGGATGTGCCTGCACCAAAACCTTCGGTCTGATGTTTTACTCGTTGGTAAGATTTTCGGACTTCATTCTGACTCCTGTACATTTCGATCTGCTCACGCTCACGTTTTTCTTGTTCTTTCTTTTTTCTGAAAAAAAGTTTCTCCTTTTCTCCCGATAATTCTCCATCACATTACGTGTTGCAGGGTTGCCCAATATGCTGCGTTTTTCCCATCAATAGCATTATGACACTCCTGATCGTACCATGGGTTTCTTGTTGGTGGTTTTTGGTACCCAAGTGTGGCTTTTGCTGCAGTTTTAGAGAGTGGGCAATTCTTTGCCATTTGTGCTTCTATACTATTATCGGGACAAAAAGTGCTTTCGTCAAGCAGGTGGGTAAGTTGAGCGGAGTAGGCCTCGGCTACCTGTTGTGTTTGCAGCTTTTCGACGTTGAGTTTCCGTGTTGTGTTAGATCGCACCTTTGCTGCAATATTAAGACGAGTGCGAACCTTGGCGGCTACAAGGTAGTGGTCCGAATCGATATTCGCATCTCGAATCGTTCGATCGATCTAATACACTGGATGAATGTCTTCCGTCTATCACAACATGATCAATTTGATTTCTCGTTGCTTGATCAGGAGAAATCCAGGTGGCCTTGTGTATATCGAGATGCTTGAATCTGGTGCTGCTAACTATCATGTTTTTTGTTGCCGCGAAATCAATCAACCTCATGCCATTGTCGGATGTGTATATCGATTTTTGCATTAAAATGCAGAATTTTAATGTCATGATCATGCTGCGGTAAAATAGCTTTGGTCTGGTCATCATTGGGCGCAAATAAGACTGATGCAGAACTTCGCGTTTAAGTGGATTATATCAATTCGCTCATTTACTGCAGTGAATCTGGAGACGAGGTCTTTTATTCTCCTGTTAACCGTAAATCCGCAGCCAAATTCGCGTCTCGTTTCATGGCAGCTATAATACAGGGCGTAATCGTCTGCTGTACTTACGCCTGTTCCTTTCTATCGCATTTCCTGTAAGGCCATAATATCGACTTTGTACTTCTTGAGTACATCCGCCAAAGCGAGAACTGCGCCTGTTCTGTATAACGTGCGCACATTCCAAGTGCATATTCACAGATCGTAGTCCTTTATACATTTGCGGGGGTCGTCAACATTAGGGGGGTTTGGTTTTCATTTTCTTTGCTTTTTCATAGAAGGATGTGCCTGCACCAAAACCTTCGGTTTGGTGAAGAGATGAAGAAGGAAACCTGGTGACAGATACATACAGCGTGCTGAGGATCTGGAAGGAACATTTTGAAAAGCTTCTGGTATCAAATAGTGGCGGTGAAGAAGATACCCCAGAACCAATAATAGATGATGGTATAGAGTGTATACCACCTAGCCAAGATGAGGTCATAAACTCAATCAATCGGCTCAAGAACAATAAAGCAGGAGCCAATGGGGTTTTCAACCCAATTTTTATAGTTCTTATGGATGAACTCGCGGCACATATCAGCTCACTGTTTCAATGGATGATGAAAATAGCTACCCCAGGTGACACCGCGGGGAGGTCATTGTCCACAATTGTGATGAAAGAGGGACCAAGATAAGCCTGAACTTCGCCATGTTAAAGCCAATCAGAGCCCCTACGCCACCCTCTAAATTTTTTTAAATCTACGCCTTTTTCGACTTTTGAAAAATATATATTTTTTTTAAATCCACAACTTTTTGATCTGAAATCATTCCTTTTTAATTTTCAAAATCTTGTAACGGTTTCTTCGTTACATTCTTAACAAAATACAACCCATGGTATCCTTCGTGATATGTGTGTGTATGTGTATGTATACCATTGACAGGAAGCCCTATTACGAACGAGTAACGAAACTTACCGAAATTCCTTGTGCTTACTGAACGAAACTCTCCACCAAAATGAAATGACGCCTGCGCACGAGTCGCCCACTGGTGGGTCAGTCAGATGATGACAGTTCTTCTTCTGTTGGACTTGTAAACAAAACAACAGTACATTTTTCAACCCCGTTTGTCAACGGCATATCCAGCAACAAAAACACATACACACACGCACACAAAGACAACCGCTCATGCAACCGCTCATAGCAGTCACAGTCAGCCTTTCTCTTAGGGGCTGAAATAATTTCATTTTCGCATACGAGAACAACAACAACGACGAACTGAAAGTCACAACAGCAGGGAATTATTGATTTTCGCATGAGCGAGTTAAGAAATTCAGCAGCAGCACCACCACCACCAATCGGCCAACAACCAGTAGTAGCGGAGAGTTTCTAAACGAAGACGAAGAACGAAAAAAATCGGAACAGAAAACTTTTCAGTTGTTTTTTTTTCTTGGATTATTGAGTCAACATTTTTATTCTTGAATTCGGTTGCTGTTGTTTGAAGACAAAAATAAAAAAAAATCCAATTGAAATGATTTTGAGATTAGAGTAGCAACGTTTCGTGTTGAAAAAAACCAAACGAAATACCGAAAATCCAAGAAATATTTCTTGGGGTCTATCGAAGTGTTCGGACCATTTGTGTATCCACCAGAGGAAAAAAAAAATAAGAACACAACAGCAACAACAACACAATGGCCGACACTGAATTTGAGGAATTCCATCGACCAATTTTCGAGACCCATACAATTCCCTATACCAGCAGTGCTGTGAGTGGTGTTAAAAAATCAAATCCGCATACCTTTTATTCGTAAGTTTCAGAATAATTCAAAATAAAATAAAATTAAAAAAAAATAGTTAGAAGAAAAAAATATTGTGTGAGAAGAAGAAGAAGCAGCAGCAGCATAAGGACATGCCAGCCAACCAGCCTGTATGTCTGTCTGCATATGGAGGCTAAATTGGAGAAAAATCAATGACTACCAAACAGAGTTGTTGTTATTATTGTTGTTTTGGGTGTCTCAGCCAAAAGGGGAGGCAGGGGGTGGTGTTATGATTTCTAAAATAATTATTTTTTTTTTAAATTTTATTATTATTGTTGTTGTTCTTGTTCGTTTTTTTCCAGCCTCATACCCAATGATGACATCGAAGATTCACCATCTTCAAAAAGTGATACATCCGATCAGGAGGACAATATCGACAATTGCAATAACAACAAACTGAATCGCCAGGTGGAAGATGATGATGGCCTCAAGGTGGTCTCATTGTCCTCGGATGGTTCATTGGATACAAATGATTCGTTCAATTCGCATCATCATCATCCTCTCAATCATCAGGATGCCATTGGGGGTTTAGTGGGTATTGGCTCCAGTAATGCTCATCATCAGGCCAATAATGGGAGTGGTGGTGGTGGTGGCGGTGGAGGTCAGTTATCTTCGGCCCCTTCACACAACATGATTATAACCGGACTCAACAATCAACAGCAGAGACGTCGCAGGAAATTACCGGAAATACCCAAAAATAAAAAATGTGAGTTGAACGTGTGAGAATGTGTGTGTGTTTGTAGTGGTTTTGTTGTAGTAATTGTTGTGTGTTTTTTTTTTATTTTCGACAAATCCTTCCCAGTGTTCATAGATTTCCTAGAAACCCTTTTCTGTAGATTCCTAAGTAGTTTTGGGATCCCTAAAATGAATTTAGTCCTCGATAACCAAAATCCTATAAATTTTTTTTATTTTAAAAATATTGGGTTAATTTATCAATTACAAAAAAATTTTAGGTAATAATCCCCAGAAAATAAAAAAAAATTGGTCGCTTTAAAAAAATCGACCAAAAAATAAAATACCGACCGAAACAGTATGACAATTTTTTTGTGAGGCTATTGCAAAAAAAAATTATAATAATGATTTTATAAAAAAATCTAAAATCGATGAAACATTTTTATGAAACCGACCAATTTGTTTTTAAATTCTACCAAATTTTTTGTCGATTATTTCAAAATGCTTTTATAAATCGACCAAATTTATAATAATAAGTTTATAAGCCAAAATTATAATCCCCAGAAAAAAAAAAAAAATGTCGTTTAAAAAATCGACCAAAAATGCAAATACCGTCCAAAACAGTACGACAGTTTTCGGTGAAGTGATTGCAAAACATTTTGAATTGACTAATAATAATTTTATAAAAAAATCTAAAATCGACGAAATTTTTTAAAACCGACCAATTTGTTTTTAAATTCCACCAAATTTTTTTTACCGATTATTTCAAAATATTTTTATTAATCGACCAAATTTATAATAATAAATGTATATTTCATATGTTTGAAACCGACCAATTTTTTTTCAAATCCTACCAAAAATATGTTGGGCGTTTATTAAAAAAAATGTATTTTTTATTGACAAAATTTTTATAAATGAGTTTATATTTAATTTTTTATCTCGCCAACATTTTTTTAAAAAACCGACAATTTTTTTCTAAATCCTACCAAAAATTTTTTAGGCGTTTATTACAAAAATTTGTTTTTTATTGACAAAATTTTTATAAATGAGTTTATATTTCATTTCTTAATCTCGCCAACATTTTTTTAAAAACCGACCAATTTTTTTCAAAATCCTACCAAATTTTTTGGGAGATTATTACAAACAAATTTTTATAAATTGACAAACTTGTTATAAACAATTACATTTTTTATTTTTTTAGAAACCGACCATTTTTTTTTAGTTTTTTACAATTTTTTCCAAAATCTTAAAAATTTTTTGGACGATTTTTACAAAAAAAAAAATTGTTGTAAATTGACAAAATTGTTATAAATGAAGTATTTTATTACATTTCGTCGATATTTTAAAATACAGAATTTTTTTAATCCTACCAAATAGTTTTTTGCAAGAATTTGGTCGATTTTTTAAAAATGTATTTTTTGTAGATTTTTTCATGTTGGTCGATTTAGAACATGAATATTGTTACAAAATATAGAGCATTTAAAAAAATCCCTAGAAAGACCGAAATGGTTTTTGGTAGAAATTGGTCGAATTTTAAAAATGAATTTCCGATCAATTTAAAAGAGTAACAACAATTCTCTTTTAAATTGATTAAAAATTGATCAAAAACTCATAGACCATTTAAAAACTATACAAATGTTCCCTAAAAAGGGTCAATTTTTTTCTTGGTAGAAATTGGTAGAATTTTAAAAATTATTTTTTTCGATTTTTTTTCTTAATTTTGGAAAATTTTGAATTGATTAAAAATTGATCAACAACTCATATACCATTTTAAAACTTTACAAATGTTCCTTAAAAACGGTCAATTTTTTTTCTTGGTAGAAATTGGTCGAATTTTAAAAATTAATTTTTCGTCGATTTTTTTTAATTTTGGAAAATTATAGAAATGTAGTTTAAAATTTATAGAAATATATCCACAACCACAGAAATATCCTTTAAAAACAGATCAATAAGTTTTGGTAGAAATATGTCGAATTTGGTAGAAATTGGGCTAATTTAAAAAAAATTTTTGGTCCATTTTTTTAAAGTTTGGTTTAAAAAAATCTTGTAAATAAATATAATATTACAAAACTACACTAATATCCCATAAAAAGCAGACCAAACTATTTGTTAGAAATTGGTCGAATTTTAAACACTAAATTTTCGTAGATTTTTTTTAGAATTTCGGTCGTTTTAAAAAAGAAATTGTATTTTAATGCATAAAACATTATAAAACTAAAAAAAATCCCAAAAAAAACAACAACAAAAAATAGTAAAAATTGGTCGAATTTTAAAGAAATATATTTTTGGTCGGTTTTATTTTTAAATTTAGTTTGATTAAAAAAAGGCATATTGTTAAAACACATCGACCATACCAAAACAATACGAATGTTGTTTAAAAAATGGCAAAAATATTGGTATAAATAAATTGGCCGAATTTTGAAAAATGAACATTTGGTCGATTTTTTTTTTTTAATTTTGAAGACTGAAAAGCATGTTGTTTAATCATATGGACCATTTCAAATTTATACACTTTTTACTTAAAAACGACCAAAAACATTTTTGATAGAAATTGATATAATTTTGGTACAATTGGTATAAAATGGTCGGTGGGGGTTTTTTATGATAATCCTAATATTACAGGACATAAAGGGTAATATTGCTGAAATGCCAAAAGCACTTCTTAAAAATGGACAAAAAAAAATTTTGTTTTTTTTTTGGTTTTTTGTTAAAAATTGGTCGAATTTTAAAAAAATAATTTTTGCCCATTTTTTTCTAATATTGACAATTTAATAGAAGGTATGTTTTTGCTCACGTGGGTCATTTCAAAACTATGCAAATGTTCCCCAAAAACCATTAAATTATCTCTGTAGAAATTGGTCGAATTTGGACAATTTGAATTTTTGGTCGAATTTGGAAAATTTGATTTCTTTGGTCGATTTTTTGTAATACTTATGAAAATTGTTTTTCAATATTTATTTTTTATAGGCCCAACACGTTTTTCTTACTAAAATCGACCAATAGAGACTACCTCCAGCTCGTCTAAAGAGAGTTCCTTCTACTCGCCTATGGAGATTCCATACAGCTCAACTATAGAGCAAAGTAGCTTCTATAGATATTAATTAGTTCAACAATAGAGACTCTCTCATCGATGCCCTTTCAACGGCAAAAATTTCCTTAGGCTCATCTATAGAGACTCTAATCGAATCGTATATAGAGATTCCCTTCAGATCATCTATAGAGGCACCCTTCAACTCTTCTATAGACACTTATTTCAGTTTACCGCCTGTTAGCCTTTAGAGTCTGCCACCGAATCGTCTATATAGACCTCTGTCGGCTCGATCTGTATAGATTTCCTTCGTCTTTTCTATGGACTTGGAATTTTAAAATTAATAATTTTAGAAGGCCCATAGAGACATGTCTTTAAAGACTCATCTGTATTACAGAAATTCTCATGGGAAGATTTTTTTAATTTTGTTTGTTTTTTTTTTGTCATACACATACACACATACATATCTTTATTTTCCAAATACCTAACCTGCCTGCTCTGGTCTCTGTGTAGTTTAGTTCGAATTTAATTTATCTACAATGCGGCGATTTTTTGCAGCTTCCATTCTACATCTTTTAGGTGGCAATACTGGCGCTGGAGGAGGTGGCACCGGCTTCGAACATTCCAATTTGGCAGATGAAATGTCTTCGGTACGCAATCGTAATGGCCCCACAGCCGGTGGTGGCTCACAACAGGGCCGACAAAATCAACGATCATTTCTTACGCTCAAACACAGTTATCTACTCGACGAAGACTCCAGTCCCGATTCGGAACGTTTACAGAGTCTAGGTGATGTGGACAGTGGTCACAGCACTGCACATTCACCCACCGATTTCAAGAGCATGTCGCCACAAATCACTTCCCCCGTATCGGAATCGCCGGTGCCCCAGCCCTTCGGTGGGGTGCCATTTGCTCAGCTGGAAATGCTCGAGGCGACACATCGCGGTCTGCACAAGTTTATACCACGTCACAACGATGAGATAGAGATCGAGATCGGCGATCCGGTCTATGTCCAGAAGGAGGCAGATGATTTGTGGTGTGAGGGGGTGAATTTGCGAACAGGTCGCCAGGGGATATTTCCCTCGGCCTATGCTGTGGACTTGGATTACAATGAGTTCGATCCGACGGTGCAGCAGGTGAAAAAGGAACGTTATCTGTTGGGTTATTTGGGTTCGGTGGAGACGTTGGCGCACAAGGGTACGGGGGTGGTGTGCCAGGCGGTGCGTAAGATTGTGGGCGAATATGGTAATTCGCCAACGGGTCAAGTGTGTATATTGGAAATATCGGATCAAGGCTTGCGCATGGTAGATCGTTCTGGACCCAATGTAAGTAGGGGAAATGGGGAGAGAGAGGGTGGGTGGGGTGTAGAGGAGTGAAATTGAAATTTGGTTATTAATTAAAAATTTTTTTGTTTCGTTTTTTTCCGCAGAACAAAAAGGACAAGAAGCCTTGCATTGATTATTTCTACTCGCTTAAGAATGTCTCCTTTTGTGCATTTCATCCAAGGGATCATCGTTTCATTGGCTTTATTACCAAACATCCCACTGTGCAGCGTTTTGCTTGTCATGTTTTTAAGGGATCAGAGTCGACAAGGCCTGTGGCAGAGGCTGTTGGGTAAGTTTCGAAAAAGGCCCCTATTTCCCATTAAGGAAATAGGCGTCAAATTTTCCACATGGAAGCCAACCAAAAAAAATTTAAAAATTTGCCTCCTTTAGTAAATTTTGAAACTTATTTTAAAAAACTTTTTCTCCTTCCTCTCCTTACAGACGTGCATTCCAACGTTTCTACCAGAAATTCATTGAGACCGCTTACCCCATAGAGGACATTTACATTGAATAGGTTAGTCAGCCAGTCAGTCGGACAGTCAAACAACCAATCAATCCAACCAACATACCCAAAAGGAAAAGCAGTTACTTTTCATATCGTTTCACAGTATTCTCTTCGGTATATGAAAAGTCAAATACATACATAAAGTATATAATATGTATATGTATATAATAAATATATAGGTACAAAAACTTACTTTCAAAAAAAAAACTAAAAATTCCCTATCTCTCTCAAGTATGCGTGGGGACTAGAGTCCCCTATTACGAAAATAAGGAAAACAAATGGACAAGGAAACTTAAAAAACAAAATAATAATACAAGCCGACAATTTAATCAAATAAAACAACAACAATAAAAACAAGAAGCAAAGAGCATAATTGAAAGGGATTTGAAAAAAAACACAATTGTTGTTTCTGTGTTTTTATTCGATTTCGGGAAATGTACTGAAAGGTAAGTATGGGAAATATGAAAACAATTCAATTAAAAAACATGTAAGGAAAGTAGTAAAGTCGGACTTTGCCGACCATATGATACCCTTCATACATATGTATCCTAACAGACGTCGCCTTTTTGAAGGAACATTGGCATGCAATTGAACGAACTTAAATATGTGATCCTTATCTATATCTGAACCGACTCTAAACATGAATAGGTCGAAATTATATATGGAAGCTATGATATATCTGAACCAGAGATTAATTTATATTAACTTCAGTGTGTTGTGTCAATCGGCCTAGCTATGGATCTTTAGTGCACCATTTACCTAAAATCGGACGAAAATATATATGGAAGCTATATCTAAATCTGAACCGATTTTCACAAAACTTAGCACACGACATTCTATACTTAATTAAGTACGCTATGCCAAATTTCGTGCGAATCGAATGATTTCCAGGGACTTTGTTGCACCATTTACCTTAAATCGGGCGTAACTATATATGGGAGCTATATCTAAATCTGAAGCTATTTTCACGAAACTTAGCACACGTCATTCTATACTTAATTAAGTACGCTATGCCAAAATTCGTGCGAATCGTATGATTTCCAGGGACTTTGGTGCCCCATTTACCTTAAATCGGGCGAAACTATATATGGGAGCTATATCTAAATCTGAACCGATTTTTTCCCAATATCAATAGGGTTCGTCCTTGGTGGACGTGGATTATAAGGCGTGGATTTTTTAAGGACGTGGATTATAAGGCGTGGATTTTTTTAAGGACGTGGATTATAAGGCGTGGATTTTTTAACGACGTGGATTATAAGGAGTGGATATTTTAAGGACGTGGATTATAAGGCGTGGATTTTTTAAGGACTATTATAAGGCGTGGTTTTTTAGGGACTATTATAAGGAGTGGATTTTTTAAGGACTATTATAAGGCGTGGATTTTTTAAAGGACTATTATAAGGCGTGGATTTTTTAAGGACTATTATAAGGGGTGGATTTTTTAAGGACTATTATAAGGCGTGGTTTTTTTAAGGACACCTCAGATTTATACCATAGACAGACGACAGCCTTAATTTGCATTAAAAATTCGTTAATTTGAATTAATATTTACCCCTGACAGACGAGCGTTTCTGCATTTACGAAACAGTTTTTTGCTTCAAAACAATTGTTTGTATGTGTGTAGGATGAACATTTTTTACATTTGTTTCGAAATTTTTCTTTAGGAAGTAGATACATGACATAAAGGAGGAATAGCAACTATGATCTCAGCAAAACTGCCCCCTGTTTAAAAAATGGTTGAAATTTGCCTTCATTTCTTATTTCTATTTTCATAAATATAAATAAATTTGACAAGAAACAATTAATTTTCGACAGCATTGCCATATTGAAATTGCCTAATTCAGTATAAATTCAGTTTGATTTTGTGCATTAACAACACATAAAAATGAGGATAATGTACAAGTTAATTTGAATTAAGGCTGTTAATGCAAATTTAGGCTGTCGTCTGTCTAGGCTATTAATGAATAAAACAACTAGTTATTTTATGGGAGCTATATCTAAATCTGAACCGATTTTTCCCAATTTCAATAGGGTTTGTCCGTGGGCCAAATGAATGAGTTGTGCCATATTTCATCCAATTCGAATCAAAAATGCGACCTGTACTTTGTTTTTAAAATTTAACATCAACAGACGGACATGCATAAATCGACTCTATGCATATTCTCAAAAGGAACCATGTGTCTATCTCGTTTCCTTTTGCCTGTTACAAACATATGCACAAAGCCATAATACCCTGTACCACAGTGTGGTGAAGGGTATAAAAATAAAAAAAAATGAAAATCCTTTAAATACTTTTTTTACCAAAAAAGGTGTGGAGGTTTAAGGCGTTTTAAGGACTATTATAAGTCGTGGATTTTTTATGGACGTGGATTATAAGGTGTGGATTTTTTAAGGACGTGGATTATAAGGCGTGGATTTTGTAAGGACTATTTTAAGGCGTAGATTTTTTAAGGACTATTATAAGGCGTGGATTTTGTAAGGAATATTTTAAGTCGTGGATTTTTTAAGGACTATTATAAGGCGTGGATTTTTTAAAGACTATTATAAGGCGTGAATATTTTAAGGTCTATTATAAGGCGTGGAATTTTTATGGACTATTATAAGGCGTAGATTTTTAAGGACTATTATAAGGCGTGGATTTTTTAAGGACTATTATAAGGCGTGGATTTTTTAAGGACTATTATAAGGCGTGGATTTTTTAAGGACCAGTATAAGGCGTGGATTTTTTAAGGACTATTAAAGGGCGTGGATTTTTTTAACGACTATTATAAGGCTTCGATTTTTTAAGGACTATTATAAGGCGTGAATTTTTTAAGGACGTGGATTATAAGGCGTGGATTTTTTAAGGACGTGGATTATAAAGCGTGGATTTTTTAAGGACGTGGATTATAAGGCGTGGATTTTTTATGGACGTGGATTATAAGGCGTGGATTTTTTAGGACGTGGATTATAAGGCGCGGATGTTTTTAAGGACGTGGATTATAAGACGTGGATTATAAGGCGTAGATTTTTTAAGGACGTGGATTATAAGGCGTGGATTTTTTAAGGACGTGGATTATAAGGCGTGGATTTTTTAAGGACGTGGATTATAAGGCGTGGATTTTTTAAGGACGTGGATTATAAGGCGTGGATTTTTTAAGGACGTGGATTATAAGGCGTGGATTTTTTAAGGACGTGGATTATAAGGCGTGGATTTTTTAAGGACGTGGATTATAAGGCGTGGATTTTTTAAGGACGTGGATTATAAGGCGTGGATTTTTTAAGGACGTGGATTATAAGGCGTGGATTTTTTAAGGACGTGGATTATAAGGCGTGGATTTTTTAAGGACGTGGATTATAAGGCGTGGATTTTTTAAGGACGTGGATTATAAGGCGTGGATTTTTTAAGGACGTGGATTATAAGGCGTGGATTTTTTAAGGACGTGGATTATAAGGCGTGGATTTTTTAAGGACGTGGACGTGGATTATAAGGCGTGGATTTTTAAGGACTATTATAAGGCGTGGATTTTTTAAGGACGTGGATTATAAGGCGTGGATTTTTTAAGGACTATTATAAGGCGTGGATTTTTAAGGACTATTATAAGGATTGGATGTTTTAAGGACTATTATAAGGCGTGGATTTTTTATGGGTTATTATAAGGCGTGGATTTTTTAAGGACTATTATAAGGCGTGGATTTTTTAAGGACTATTATAAGGGGTGGATTTTTTAAGGACTGTTATAAGGCGTATATTTTTTAAGGACTATTATAAAGCGTAAATTTTTTAAGGACCAGGCGTGGATTTTTAAGGACTATTATAAGGCGTGAATTTTTAAGGTCTATTATAAGGCGTGGATTTTTTTAGGTCTATTATAAGGTGTGGATTTTTTTAGGTCTATTATAAGGCGTGGATTTTTTATGGGCTATTATAAGGCGTGGATTTTTTGGGGACACCTCAGATTTGATGAATAAAACAACTAGTCTTTTTTCAGAATTTATCAATGTTGTATCTTTATATTTTTCTTATTTAATACATTTATTTCTTTAATATATCTATTATTAATATATACAAACTTTGTTGTTTCTGCGTTTTTTTAATGACTATAATTTTCTCTAGTTTGTTTTTCATTACTTGGTTTTTACGTTCTGTTTGGTTTTTTTATTTGTTATTCTCATTAACTAAAATTACTAAAAAATTATTAACGATTTAATTTACAATATCATTTGTTGTTGCAATACTATACAAATTTTATTTTATACCAATACCTATATACATACATACATATATATAATTTTTTATAGATCTGTACATAACTAAATTTTTTGTATGTAGGTTGTTTGTTACACAAAATATGTACATATTTATATAATATAAATTGAGGCAGGAAAAAAAAACTCCAGGTTACGGCTGATGGGTTTATATGGGAGAGCCAATGATGATAGATATCCGTTGAATGATTCGTGGTCCAATGATAGCATTATAATACAAAGGCCCTTTACAGGGGCCGTTATATCTAGAAGTACTTGGGAACGTCTTCCACATATAATAGACTCCACATAAAGGTCCTGTTTACGTAATTTACAAACGTAAAATCAATAACAAATGACTTTGGTTTGTTGTATATGTATATAACGAGCCTCTCCTCTTTCTCTCCCTATTTTAGTTCCTATATAGACTATATTAAAATTTGTTTGTAATTGACATTTGATTCGTATGTGCTACGATTGTTTGGTTATATACAGGGGTAGAGACAAATAATAATAGAAAGGGGTCATAAGGGAAAGAAACGAAAATGAAACAGTTGGGCTGAAGTGTTCCGTGTAGGGCTAGATTTATCTTGCAAATATTTAATGAAACTTTTTTTTGAGGGATTGAAAATATTATATAAATTACAATATATTTTTTAAATACAGGCCTCAGTAAGTAATTCAAAAAAAATTATATAAAAACACACACATATATATAATTATTTAATTTAAATCAATTTTAAGAAAAAAACCAGTAAGGAAAGTTGTAGAGTCGGACTGGGCCGACTATTTGATACCCTTCACCAATTTGGATATATTTGCACATATGTACCGTTGCAATTGTATGCAAATGTTCCCTCGAAGGAACATACTCATGTCTTTCCGCAACCTATGCTAAATTTAATTTCATTCGGGCATATTTAAAGTCGTCTGCGTACCATGGGACAAATTTATGGAAAACGATTTACAGCAAACTTGACACACGCTATTTGGTATGCTGTACTGTTAAAAATTTAATCTCAATCAGACACCCGTTCGAAATACATACAGATGCTATGGCTGCATCTGCATAAATTTCAAAAAAAAAAACCTAATAACGTCATTTAAGTCTGAATTAGATACGTTGTACAAAATTTCGTGTTAATCGGACAAACATTAGGATTTCGGATCAAAAAAATATAAATGGGATCTATATTAAAATCTGAACGGATCTTCACGAAACTTAGCACACATCATTTTAGACTCATTTCAGTACGCTATGCACAATTTCGTGCAAATCGAAAATATATATAGGGACTTTGGTGCACCGTTTACATCAAATCGGACGAACATATTTATGGGAGCTATATCTAACTCTGATCAGATTTTCACGAAACTTAGCACACCCCTATCTAGACTAAATTCAGTATGTTGTGCCAAATTTTGTGCAAATCGAAAGATAAATAGGGACTTTGGTGCACCATTTGTCTTAAATCGGAATAAAATATATATGGGAGGTATATCTAAATCTGAACCAATTTTCACGAAACTTAACACACATCATTCTAGAGTTAATTCAGTACGCTATGACGAATTTCGTGCAAATCGAAAGATATATAGGGTCTTTGGTTCATCATTTACCTTATATCGGACGAAAATATATATGGGAGCTATATCTAAATCTGAACAGATTTTCACGAAACTTAGCACACATCATTCTAGATTCAATTCAGTACGCTATGACAAATTTCGTGCAAATCGAAATATGTTTAGGGACTTTGGTGCACCATTTACCATAAATCGGACGAAAATATATATGGGAGCTATATTTAAATCTGAACGGATCTTCACGAAACTTAGCACACATCATTCTAGATTCAATTCAGTACGCTATGACAAATTTCGTGCAAATCGAAAGATATATAGGGTCATTGGTGCAGCATTTACATTAAATCGGACGAAAATATATATGGGAGCTATATATAAATCTCAACTGATCTCCACCAAACTTAGCACACATCATTCTAGGCTGAATTCAGTACGCTGTGCCAAATTTCGTGCAACTCGAAAAATATATAAGGGCTTTACTGTACCATTTACATAAAATTGGACAAAACTATATACGGGAACTATATCTAAATCTGAACCGATTTTCTTAAATTTCAATAGGGTTCGTCCTTGGGCCAAATATGTGAGCTGTGCCAAATTTCATCCAAATCGCATCATAAATGCGATCTGTTTACAATTTAACATTTACAAATGGATAGACGGACGGACGGACATGCTTAAATCGACTCAGAAAGTGATTCTATGTATATTCTCAAAAGGAACCCTGTTTCTGTCTCGTTTCCTTTTGCCTCTGACAAACATATGCACAAAGATATAATACACTGTACTGTACACAGTGTGGTGAAGGGTATAAAAAATATATCAACATTCAGCGCACGTTTATTATATACATAAAAAATAATAAAAAAATATATCTACATTCAGCAGCCCCACTTTTATTATATAAAAAAAGGAAAACAAAAAAATAATAAAAAATATGTTTTTGTTGTATTTTTTTTTGTTAATAAGGCTTTTTTGTTTTATTTTTTCAATTGTTTTTTTTTTTTGTTTCTTCTTGATTTCTTTTTATTATTAATTTAATTTATGCTAGACTTATGACTTAATTTATATAATAATCCTTTTACAATAATAATAATAATCATATAATAATTAATAATAATAATAAAATATTGTTTAATGCTCCAGTTTAATTTATAATTATTTTCTTGTTGTTTTCATTTATTTGTTTGTGTGTGTGTGTTCTTTGACAATAATATTTGCTGTTGTTTGTTTTGTTTTTTTTTAATTATTAAATTCAACGATCAATTACACATTTAAAAAAATGAAATAAAAAAATTAAAAACTTTAATAATAATATTATAAATATATACACATATACAAGTTAATCTAACTAGAGGCTAATAAAAATTATTTATATATATATTTATACATATACATAATAATCATATAAATTTATACAATGTATATATATATGCGGGTGTTTTTGCTTTGTTTTTCAGTTGTTGGCTTTTGATGTTTTTTGTTTTTTTTCTTCTTCTTGTTACTTGGTATATATAAATAAATATATACTACTAATGTTTTGGAATTTCGTTTTCTTTTTTAAATTTTATTTTATTAAATTATTATAAATTATTTTATTTACTATTATTTTTATGTGATTTCTTTTTTTGCTTCATTCCTTTTGTTTTAAATTAATTTATTTCAATTACTTAAATATATACAGTAAGTTTAAATAGAAAATGGTAGAATTAGGGAGGAGGAGAAGGGGGGAGGACTTCATAGGGACATAGATTTGTGGAAGAGAAGGTTTTGCCTTAATGTGTTCTTAAAATGGGTTATGCCTGTTTGTAATGTATGTTTATGTATTTTTATAATATACATATTGTTTCAATGATTGCTAGCTGAATTATAAATATACATATGCTATATAATAAGATTTTTTGTATACATATAAAATTATATAAATTTCTGCTAAAATCTTAATTTTAATTTTTTTTACAAAATAATTTTTCTTCTTCTTGTTTTGTTGAGAAAAATCTTTAAAATGTATCAGAAATTATTGTTTCGAATATAAAAAAAAAAACATAAAATAACTAACGAAGCTTAGAACTTCTTTCAAGTAGGAAACTATTTTTGAAGTTTAACTTAACTCTAAACTGTGTTTTTTTTTTTTTTTGTAATTTTGAATTTTACCTCCACTTCAACAATATTTGTGAAAAATTTTATTGTAAATTTGAAATATTTTTAAAAAAAAAATTATATTTGTAGAGTATTTTTGGAAGTAATCGAAATATTTTATACACAGACTACAATGTTTAGTAATATTGGTTGAATTATGTTTAAGGTTTATATTAAAAGACCACAAAATGGGAAATTTGGTAAAGCAAAAAAAAAAAAATATATATATATATATATATATATATATTTTTTTGAAAACCTAAAAAATGTTTAAAAAAATATATATATTTCTAGATATATTCAAATATCTTTTTAAAAAAATAATTCCTTCTTAGCTATGTTATGATAATGATTACGTATTTAAAAAATCGAAATAAAAAATATCATTTTTTTAGTCAATAAAATATATATATATAAATATATATATATATATATATATATATACATATATATATATATATATATATATATATATATATATATATATATATATATATATATAATATATATATATATATAAATATATTTTATTTCAAATTAAAAATAATACTTTTTTTCAAATTAAAAAAATATTTATTTTTTTTAATTAAAAATTTTTTTTTTAATATAATTTTTTTAATGTTTTTATTAATTTTTTTTAATTCAAAAAATATTTTTTTTAATTGATTTTTTATTTCAAATTAAAAAAAATATATATATTTTTTCACATTTCACATTTTGGCATATATATTTTTTTTAATTAAGAAAATCATTTAAAAAAAAAAATTAAATAAATATAATTGTTAAATCAATAAGCCGACATTTCTTTGCAAAAAAATTATTTTTTCAAATTGAAACATATTTTAATTTTACATTAAAAATTTGTTGAACAAAAATTATGCATTTTGTAATTAAAAAAATCAATAAATTTTTAATTAAAAAGCCACAATTTATTTCTGATTTATTTGGAATATTTATGGAAAAGTTTGTTTAATTTTCATAAAAATGTTCCATCATTTTTTTCCAAATTAAAAAAAATATATTTTTAGTTAAGTCAATAAATACATATTTATAACAAAGGATAAATAAAATTTTTTTAATTATACTTTTAATTTATTTGCCAAATTATCTTGTCATCAATTTAATTGAAATGTCAAACATTTCTTTTTATTTGCGGCAGAATCCCTACCATTCCCCAGATATATTATCATCGATGGCCAAAAAAATAAACTTTCAAATGAAATTTTAAATTATTTAAAAAACAAACGAATATTTGTTTTCAATTTATTAGATCATTACTAGATAATTGCACTAATTCATTAATACGGTTAAGAGAAAATTTCAAAAGTTTTCCTAAAAAAATAAATGGTAATTATTTTTGTACAGTCCTTTAAATAAAACCTTAAATTCATAATCATTATTACTACTAATATTCTTACATTGTAGTTGCTGTGTTTTGTTTTTTAATTAGAAAAGAAAACGGTTCATTGCATCTAATGCAATACTTTATTTATAATCATGAGTTCATGCCATTAGGTATTTAAAAAAATTAAAAAAAAAAAAACTTTAGAAGGTCTAGTGTGGATAACTGTCACAATAAATTAAAAAATAAAATAAAACTATTTTCATTTCGATAAGCTTGGATACAATTTTATCTACAATAAAAAGTTTCAATCTAAATTGTGTAATATTAAACAAATTCAATTTCGAATCGATTTTTTTCTTTGTCATTTAAATTTATCGAAATGAAAACATATTTTATTTTAATTTACAATGACACAATATACTAAAGAATAAAAATAAAATAGAATTATTTTCCATGTCATACAATTCCACTCATCTCATATACACAACAACATTTGGAACAAAAAATAAATTAATTATTAAAAAAAATAAAATAAAATAAAAACAATATCAAAAATTGTTTATTTAAGTTATAAAACAACACATCACTCTCATACCATAAGGCTGGGCTTTTTGGGCAGGGAAAAAAGGGGACAGGGTTGGGAAGAGAATTACACATTTCTATGTTCTATATATACAAGTTGTTTCCTGTGTGTGTGTGGGGGGTATGTGTGGCTTTAGTTATCTAAAGCCCAAATATTCTAAGACTTAAAGTATATATGTATTAACAATTTGGAATAGATAATTCATCTAAGTGATGATGCTTGGTTGTTTGATCAGTATGATTGGTTCGCTCGTGTTCGTTCCACCACAAAATTGGTAGCTAGCAGGCTGGCTGGCTGTCTGCCTTCGGCAAAGATGTATAGCGGGGGTTTTCATTTGATTTGTTGATTTAACGCCTTCATCATCTAACCTCACAATCCTTGGGTAATGATATTAAACCACCACCGCCACCACTGGAACTGTTACCTCCTGCACCCGCACCCCCTCCTCCACCACTACTACCACTGTTATTACTGTTGCTATTGTTACTGTGGTGAGGATGGTGATGCTGTTGCTGCTGCTGATGCAGATTATTGCCACTCATCATGGAATTCGAATTTGAATGACTCAAATGGGTGTGACTACTCAAGGCCGAGGAGGACTGACTATTACTGTTCTCATTACAATGTGATGCTGCTCCAGTGCCACCAGCCAACATTGAACCATGATGCTGCAGCGGTGTGGGTGTTATAACCGGTGATCTATTCACATCGCCACTACACGGCCCATTGGGATCATGCTGCAACGAACTTGCCGTATTCGATGAATCTATCACCAGGCACGGAGAGGGTGTACTAGAATCTTTGGCAACATCCGATTCGACTCGCATCATTAGAGAAGAGGCGGGTTCATTACTGTAGTGACTGTAGGTGGCCACATGCGGCGAATTCATGCTGGCGCTGGCATTTGCATCTTCGGCAAATTTGGCAAAGTCACTGCTGGTGTTGGTGTGCGGCACCACCAGTGTTGGATGCGGCAGCGGCTGCATTGCTGAACTGGTATTCGAATTGGTGGTCAGTTCTTCTGTGGAGGCCGGTGAGATAATATTTTTCTTGCCCTTCTTGCGTTTCTTATCGCCGATGACATAGCCACCACCATCGGAGACACGTGCCAATTTCAGGCGTATGGGCGCAGCGGCGGCCGGTGGTTCATCTGCGGGAGGATTTGCCACTCCCCCCGCCGATTGTTGTTGTCCGGCCGCATTTAGACCTGTGGCCGGTGACGACAGACTCGTATCGGTGGCCGTCGATTCGGCTTTACGTTTATTTATACGTAAAATCAACTTTGGTGGATCTCCAGGTGAGGCACTGATAGGTTGTTCTATCAATGTAGTCGTCATGCTGTTACTGTTTAGACCCCCACCAAAGATAAGACTGGCATTATCATCAGTATCGCCCCGGTTTTTGTGACGTTTCTTTTCCTTCTTGTCCTTTTTGGGTTTGGAAGATTTTGCCTTTTTGGCCGGTGGAGGTGGACTGACTTCAGCATATGATTTCAGAGCGCCCATATTACTGGCCGAACGTCTGCTACGTTCTTCCTCATCACCACCAAATTCTTGCATAACTTGATCGCGATAATTCATAGAATCACGCATCAGATCCTCCAAGGTGGGTGTGTAATTTGAGGTAAGGCGTTTCTTTGGTGGACATGCCACGGAACGTCTCGACACCTCATGGCTATTGAAACTGGTCTCACAACTACCCACAGTGGTGGTGGCACTGACAACATTGCCCTCGCCTCCACCCAGACCACGAATTTTGATCTTGAGCTTCGGTGCAGGTTCATCGTCGGCACCTTCCATCGTCTTGCTGCGACCACGACGTTTACCCGCACTACCAGCTGCCCCCGATTTGGCACTGTTCTCTGCCGTGCTACCCGACGAACAAGCACTACGTCTGCGACCTTCCGTTCCGGAGGCCAAACCTAAGGCGTTCAGTTCACTATCGCCAGCCATTGAGTCCAGCGATCGCAATTCTCGACTAGATGTTTTCTTAAAGCGTTTGCTGGAAGATGTTGTGGTGCCGCCACCACTGCCACTACCCATGCCAGCTGCTGCCTCTGAACCATACTCATCCACTTCACTGCAAACACTGTCCGTTTTACGTGTCACCTCCATGGAATTGGACATAAGACTAGAGTCGGTGGGAGGTAGACCACATGAGGAATCGTCACCATGGTTGTCTTTTTGAACGACATAAAGACTGAGCAGTTCCTTTTTGCGCATGCGGCGTGAATTTGTACCACTACCACTCACTGAGGCACTGATGACATTTGTGGCCGATACCATGGATTGTGAATTGCTCATGGCCGATTGAGCTGCCGTGGAAGAATGTGTCATGGTCGATGAACTATTGTACATATCCGGATAGGCCAGGGGACCTTTAATTTTCAATTTCAATTGATTACGGGCATCGGAAAGTGAAGCCTTTGTCGTCAAGGTGGTATCCGAATCAATGGATACATCTTCGGAAGTGGTTTCCATGGACGTTTGTAAATCGTTGACCAATTCCGCGGAACAAATTGTAGTTGTTGTGGTAGAGGTCAGATTAGAGGTGGTGGTATTTACACTGCCACTGCTTAGTTCAAGTGCCGAAGCTCCCACTCCCACAGATGCTGCTGTCACAACACCAGATATGGACGTGGACGCCGTTGTGGCACAAATGGACTGTGAGGCCTGTATGGTCGTTGCAGAATAGCTGCTTGGGTTGGAAATAAGACTGGTATTGGCCACTACAGATTCCAATGACATCGCTGATGCTACTGCTGTTGCCTTTAGATTCGCATCCATGCCATCAGTGTTGCCGGTTATCAACGAGGAATTTGTTGTATTTCCAGGCAATGCCGTTGCTGTTGTATTTATGGTCGTGGCAGGTTTTTGTTGATTCATAGATGTAGTGGTTCCAGTGGCTCTTAAGGCCGATTGGAATTCCCTTTCATCCTCCTCATCGAACTCGGATAACGTCTGATCTGCTGTACCCGAATCAAAGGCTCCCAATAAATTCTTATTATATGCTTCCTGTGAGGCACTGGAATGTTGCGGTTCAAATCCAAGGTTATAGGTACGCATATCAACCGGTCCCGGTAACATGGGCTGGACAATGGAATGCAGATTTGATGTACTGCTGGAACTTTTCAACGGATTGCTACCACAATTGACAAGGGATGACGTGGTGACGGATGTTTCATTGCCTGGTGCTCCAACAGAGCTGGCATTTGCGGCAGATGATTGGGCATTGGGGCCACCAGTTGCTGTAGAGGCCATTAGATTAGCATTAGCACCTCCTCCCCTAACTTTATAGCTGGGACTGCGATATTTTTGTGGATCTGTGGCATGGGCATTGCGACAATCGAAGGAACGCCTACGATCCCTTAGAGACTGTAGATTCTCCATACCCGGTGGTGTGGCCATTTCCTCCTCGTAGCTAAATTCAAAGGGTGTGCCGACCAGATTATCGGAACTAACATAGTCGCTCATTGTCAATGGCAATGTGGGTATAATGGAGTTTGCCGCACTGGCTCCCCGACCTCTTCCTCTACCCCGACCCCGACCTCGTGAACCAGCTCCAGTGCCACGTGGTGCTCTTTGTCTTGGCTTACCGGCCAATGTATGGGTAAGCGGATCATATTTTGGTGGTTTTGTTGTTGTTGCCGTCGTAGAGTAGTCCTGTCCCATGGATGCATGTTGTTGCTGATGTTGTTGTTGCAATTGTTTACTCAGCAATTCCATTTGACGTGGCGACTTGCCGGGCGATTTATGTTGACCAATTTGCGGCGATTTATGGGAATTACGTGGATGTTGTTGTTGATTGTATCGGGCCGATGATCGACTGCCCTTGGAGGGAGAATCCCCTTTGGTGGGTGTGGTGTGCGTCGAAGAGGGATGCTGATGCTGATTTGGGGTTAACATACCTTCCGGCCCACAGCTATTCATGTGAAGATTATTAAAAGGCCCTGGTGGTCCAGCTGCAGCATTGCTGGGTGAAGTTAAATTAAATTGCTGTTGCTGTGCAGCCTGCATTTGATGGTGGTGATGATGTTGTTGTTGCTGCTGTTGACGCGGGGAATTATGATCGAGTAGACTACCAGGACCCGTAACTCCAACTATGGCTGCCGTCAATGCTAGGTTGTGTGTGGAAGACGTAAAAGCGGCACCGCCATACTGTCCGGCAGACGGATTTGCGGCCCCAATGGATGCCGCCGCATTGGATGATGTACCGAATATATCATTGGCAGAAGGACGCGACGGCTGTTGTTGTGGAGCACCTGTACCCGGTCCAGCGGGATACATTACACCAGTGGCATTATTGTTATTGGCGGACCCAACAAAGGGCATTTGGTTCATGCCAGCAGACATATTGGCTGCTGCAGCAGAGGTGCTGTCATGGAACATATTGGACACATTGCCATTATACTGCTGGCTAGCTGAGGGAATATTACCAGCCACCATTTGTTGCTGTTGTTGATGTTGGGGAGTTGTTTGACTAGTGGGTGTTGTGGCTGGTGTTGAATTGTATCCTCCCTGCTGCTGCTGGTTATACATCATGGAATCAATGCCATTAACCATGGGCGATTGTTGTTGTGGATGTTGCTGCGGCTGCGGCTGTTGTTGGCCATAGCTATTGGAGTTGAGACCAAAATTGTTCAGGGCATTGAAGAAACTATTTTTACAATTCGGTGAGCTGGTATTTGTCACACCCTGCATGCTGTTCATGGCATTGGTGTTGGCTTGCAACATATTTGTCGCCATGGATCCTTGCTGTTGTTGCATGTGCGGACTTTGTTGTACATGTTGACCACCGGACATTTGATGCTGCTGTACAGGTGTATGCTGCTGTTGGGGAGTTTGCTGTTGTGGTTGCAAATCCATGTTGGGTGTGTGATCATTTGATTCCGATACCGAACTCGGTGATGTTGATCTCCTGGCCGCTATCAAATCGTTTTCATTCCACATACGATTGCCCTGCATAGTGTAGGGTGATTGCATGCGGGTGTTCTCATCAAAGTCACAGTCGACCACCAATTTATTACTACCCACCGATGCGGAACTGGTAAAGTCCAGATTATCCTTGGCAGCTGCTGTGGCAGCGGCATGTAGGTCCACGAAGTCTGGTGTTGCACTGGCTGTGGTCAGTGAATTGGAACTGGAAGACATTCTATTGCTGTGTATCGACGAAGAGGACTGTTGCTGTGTGGTTGGTTGTTTTTGGGTGAAACTATCAAGGCCCAGCGATTTATTGAGCGCCGAACAGGCCAATTCTTTTTGTATGAGGGAGGTAAGTTCGGCCACATTGGAGGACGTTTGTTGTTGTTGCTGTTGATTGGGTGTCAGAGGTGTTTGATTATAATTTGAATTGGGTGTAGTTGCTGCCTGACCCTGTAGATGATGAGTGGGTGTGTGTTGTTGCTGCTGTTGCATGGGGGATATGGGTGTCATCTGAGGTGTCCTCTGCCGTTGTTGTGGTGTTGGTGGCTGCTGCAAATCATTACCATTGCCGTCCAAATAATTCAGGGCATTACTGGGTAATTGAGGCATTTGTCCAGGAGTATTTGCCTCTGGAACTGTACTGCCGGCCAAACTGCCAAATAAACTTAGACCCGTCGCTGCAGCAGCATCCTTGTTGTTTGTGGTGTTGTTGTTACTTGGTGACGAACCAATTACCTGTTGCATATTGTTACTGCCACCATCCATTGGTCCTGGAGTTTGTTGCGACCCATTATCTGCGCCGGGGAAATGAGCTTCCAATAACGCAGCATTTTCCTTTTGCACATGTATAATATCCTCCGGATCGGCTGCATTATGAAAGGGAAATACTGATGGTATTGCTGGTGTGGGTGGTGGTAACATAAGATCCGGTTCTTTGGGCTCCTCATTGCGATTGCGTTTGGTTTTCCTTAGCTTTTCCAATAGGCTCATTGTGGCCTGGCTGCTATCCTCTGTGGATAATTCTTTGGCAGTACTACCACTGCCTGACAAAAGACTTGATAGGCTTTCATTAGGTTGTCCCAAAACCTGACCCACAGTATGGCTGCCAAAACCAAGCAAGTCATTAGTAGAGAAACCAAGTTGTTGTTGTTGCTGCTGCTGGTGGTGTTTCTCTTGTTGTTTCTTTTGAGCATTATCCTCCAAATCGAGAATTGTATCCACAATTGGATGATGGGCACTTTCAAGAGAGGAGGATGATGATGATATTGGTGGTTGTGGCGCCGCCGGTACTGTGACATTAAGTGGTGTGCTGTTATTAATTGAAGTGGGGGCCAAATCCAAATTCGATGTTTGGATTAATGACAAAGCCGTGGGGTTGCTTGTGACCGCAGTTGATGCAGGAATTTGGGATTCTTTTAGCAGATTTACGGCATCAGGAACTAACAACGAAGTAAGAGTTGGCTTGCTTGTAGCCACATCCTCCGTCGATGGCACATTTCCAGGCATGCTATCCTTCTTCTGTGTAACAGGTGTTACAAGGCCAGCTCCTTCTTCTGCCGAATTTGAATTGGAATCCAAATTAATTATTTCCGGTGGCTCTGGAGCAATAACAGCCACCGCTGGCGATGACGAAGAGGCCGAATATTTACCACTATTGGCATTGGCGGCAGCCAATTCATTTTTACGCTCCTCTTCCAATGCTTTAACTAATTCCATTTCATTCAACAAATGTTGAGTGTGGTGTGTGTGCTCTACCTCGTCAGGCATTGGCGGACTACCGGGTCGACGGGTACGTCTGCGACGATTACGTACTTTACGTTTGCGTGATTTTCCCACATCACTACCATTGGAATGTTCATCATCATCGTCACTGGAAGTGGATGATGATGAGCCCGACGACGACGAGGAAGAATGCTGGGCAGGTGGTGGTGGTGATGCTGGCATAGGGGCGGCTGGTGGTCGATCATCTAAGTCGACTAAAAGTTCATCAATTTTGGCGGGCGAACGATCAGCACCAGCACCTGGTGGTAATGCGGTATTTGTGGGTGCTGTGGTCAGTTCTTCATCAATGTCCATGGGTACCTCGGAACAAACATCCATACTAACTGGTTTTTCTGCTGAAATACTAGCACCCCCGAATGGGGGTACATTATCAGTATTTGGTTTGTCGGACATTTTCTCCAAATCCAAAATATTTTCTTTTGTTGGCTGTCGGTCTGCTTCCATGGACTTTTCCCTATCCGTACATACACCTTCATTTGCGGCTTGAGCTTCATCGGTAGATTGGCTTTTTGCAATATCACTTTCCATTGCTTCGGTTTCTGTGATTTTATCCCTTAGGACTAGGTCCAATTGCATTTCGGTAGCACTTTCTTGATTTGCGATCTCGGGTAATTTTGTTGCAACTTCTGTGCAATCTTTAACATCTTGCACGGCAGGTGAAGGACTAGATAATGTAGACGAAGATGCTGTTTTCAGTGGGGAAGATGATGTCAAGTCATTGGACTTGGGGGAAGGAGATGTAACCACCGATGCCGCTGTGGGAGGTGGTGCTATGGCTGCCTCCATGGCCAAATTGTCAGCTGCCAACTTTTTATCTAAGTTATGCTGCTTCAGGGCCCGTTCCTCTTCTATTAAAGCTGACTTACGACGTGTCTGTATACTGCTTGTGGTATTGGTATCCGACATCTGTTGATCATCACTGTTTGTGGCCAGGCTGCTGGTACTTGTTGTGCTAGTATTACGCCTGAGCTGTTTCTGTGGTGACACTTTGGGTGACGATTTTGTGCTGGAAGTTGGTGGTGGTGGCAAAGTAGGAGTGGTAGCTGTTTCAACCACAGGCGCTGCGGTACTTTGTCTACTATCCTCCAATGATTTGCGCAGATTTCTTTTCGCCGCCACCGTGGCCGCTGCAGCTGCTGCCGCTGTTCGTTTCGTAGTTTCTTTTTCTTCGGGTTCGCTGGCCTCATCGTCCGATGATGAAGTGGAATAACTGCTATCGCTGTTGCTAGAACTGTCTTCACTTCCATCGGAAGATGAAGAGGAGGAACTTGAATCACTGGCCGAACTGGATGTTGTGGAAAATTTCCGCTTCTTATCCATGGCTGCTGGCACACGTTTGGGAGTTGTAGACGTTGTGGATGTAGTCGCCGTTACTGCCGACGGTCCCGTTGCTGTGGGACTTGCAGGCACTGTTGTGCCGCTGCCGGTGGTGTCATCTTTGGAACGTCTTCTATTATTACTTGTTGGAGTTTTGTTTTGGGCTGCAGGAGATGGTGTGGGATGTTTTATGCCAGCAGTAGTATCTGCTGGCAAATCTGTAAGTGCAGGAGGAGGAGGTGGAGGGGCAGGAACTGCAAGCGTTGATGAGGGAGATACCGCAGGGGGAGCTGTAGTTTTAAGTGAGGGAGATGGTGTTGTAGCCGCCAGCCTGGTTGGTGTTGTATCTTTCACCTTGGAGGGTGTGGAAGTGTCCTGCCTCTCTTTGCTACTTAGAGTGGAATCTCTCATAGACATCCGTCGTGTTGGCATTGATTTGGTATGACGACTTTCTGGAGTTTTTAATTTAGAATCCTTTTCACTGCCACCCAAACGTTCCTTATCATCCGATGTCGCTGACGCCGTTGTTGTTGTCACATCGGTATTTGTCAACAGGGGCTTAATGCTGTTCTTCAATTGTTCCGCTGCTTTTTTGGCCGCTTGACGTTGTGGCACATAGGCCACAAGTATATTCGATTTCATAGCATCAACCGCAGCCAATGACGAGGATGACGATGATGATGTTGTTGTTGCTGCAGGCTTTTGGGACGGTGAAGGGGGCTGTGATACTTTCTCTCTAGTGGGTGAAGATTTGACGCTATTTTGCGATTCATTTGTCGTAGTGGCAACTGAAGAGGAGCTGGGTGTAGACGCTGAAGAAGATGATGTGGATTTTTTACCCTCCATTTCGACAGCTTTGTTTGCCGCTTGCGGATCCTTTACACGACTACTGGTGGACGTTGTGGGTTGACTAGTACTATTGGTATCCGTTATATTGTCTTTTGTATTCTTTGGAGGACGACCACGTTTATTGGCACTTGGTTTATCATCCACTTTACTGGCACCACTACTTCCCCCTCTTGATTTTTCTGTTCGTTCATCCACGGAGGAGGACTTCATTAAGCCATCCGCACCACCGCTACTGCTACTGCTGTTACGATGCGTCGTTTTGGCACTTCCATCACGCGTCTTAACATCTGCCGCTGAGTCACGTTGGTGGCTACTCGCATTATTCGATGAAACGGAACTCGTGGAAGACGCTGACATCACAACACCACCACCGCGCATATTTTCCGATGCTTTCTTCGCTGCTTGCCTCTGAGGCACAACCAATAAATCGGCGGGAAATTTTAATTGTTTTTCCACATCCGAAGGGGCTAAGTTGATATTTCGCTTATTGGCATCCACAGACCTTTCACCTTTATCCTTGGACCTGGACGAGCTTGTTGAGCTTTTCGTCAGAGATTTGGTCGTGACCGATGATTGTGTCGTCGTGCTATCTTTTTGTGTCTTACCAGCGCAGATTTGCTGTTGCAAGGTGAACTCCTTCATGGCGGCTTTGGTCCGTATTGTCTGTTGATTCTGTGAATCACTAACATTGCTTTCGGCTGTGCGTTCCTCTTCCTTGTCCTTATTGTCCGATGAGTCCAACGAGCTATCATCAGAATCTGAATAGATTTGCTCAATTGCTTTGCGATTAGCGGCGGAATTTCTTGATTTCTGTAGTGGCTGCTGTTGAACACCATCATTCCCCGCTGTGGAATTTGTGGTTAATGATTTGCGATTCTTTTTGGCAGGTATTAGCTCCAAACTTTCATCACTTGAGGATGATGCCGTGGAAGATGATGATGTTGAGGATGAATTGCCATCATCTTCGATCTTCTTTGTTCTACTCGTCGTTGTTGTTGAGGAGGGGGTCTTGCTGTTCACAGCAGTCGCTGCTGGTCCACCAGTTTGGTTGTTCTTTGATTGTTGTTGTGATTTATTGTTGACAGGTACTGACGACGTTGATGATGTTAATTTTTTATTTTTACCAATTTCAGTTTCATTATCAATATCACTGGAACTGGAGAGTATGGTTGCAACATCGGAAGAGTTTTTGACTTCAGTGCGATTGACTGTTTCATTCGACGCTGTAACGGCAGCACCATTGCTTGATTTATTTTCTTTAGTTTCAAGTGGTGCCGTCGTCGTTGTCGTTGCAGTTTCTGCAGCTGCCGTACTCTTCCTCCGTTGTTTGGCTCGCATCTCCAACGAACGAGAATAACTTTCCCGCTTATTTTGCGGCACTTTCTTGGTTGAGGATTTGCTACCTTTAGGTGTTTTTTCATCACAACTTGATGAGGAAGTGGCCGAATCCGTTGAGCTTGTAGCACTTTCGGAACCAGATGAACTACCGCTACCAGATGATGAACCATTATCCGATGAGGAATCATCGTCATCGTCGGATGATGAACTACCCGATGAACTGGAACTTTCATCAGAACTTTTTGTGGTTGTTTGTTTTCCCGATTTAGTTGGTGTCCTATTATTACTGAGCCGTGGTCTAGAGCTGCCACCAGACGTGACATTTGAGGTGGCTGGTTTTGAGGTTTTGTCAAGGCCCGTGGAGCTACGCCGCCTGCTAACAGCATTTTTCTCCGACACATTGGTTGATGATGTTGATGTTGTGGTCGCTTTAGCTCCCCCAACCACCGAAACCGCACCATTGTTAACTTTTTTATTTGCAGGTGATTTATTTGTTATTGCTGATGATGATGACGTTGTAGCTACAGAGGATGGTGTGGCAGCTGTTGCCGAACCCGATGATGACTTATTTAAACGTTTTGTAGGCGATGTGGAAGCTCTACTATGATGCTGTGACGTCGTCGTCGTTTTATTCGAACTTTTTGGTCCATTCTTAGTATTATTGCCGAGTAATTTCTCCAGAATATATTCTAAACTTTGGTACTGTGTGGTGGTGTTCGGATGTTTAGTACGATCACCGGACGAATAGAAACGATCATAAAGCGTGGGTCCATCATTTGCATAAATGACAGCATTTTTAAATTGTTCATCGCTTGGCTCGTTGCCATCGCGCACCCTTTGATTATCCTCAGTGAGCACTGAGATTTGTTTATAGAAAACTTGTTCACGTAACTTGAACAATGAGCGTGACAGCTTCTCCCGCCGGCTAACCATGTAACAAAGATTGCGTACACGTTCCAAATCTTGTCGCAGATGGACAACCAATTTGTGATTTTCAATATCCTGCTGTTCTTGTTTGCGTGCAATCATTTCAACATCTTCGGATTTGGGTGGTATCAGGGCACGATTATTTCGAGATTTTCGCTTTAACTTCCAGTAATTGTAGATGGCTTCAATGGCCTCATCATCAACATCGAACAGATGACAACTTATGTCCTTGATGTTGACATGTTTGTCAAATTCCGACTCAACCTCCTGGGAACATAAAAATAAACATTATTATTTATAACATAAAAGCAAGACAATTCAAACTTTCAACTCACCTGTAACCTTCTTGCTCGCACCTGATTACGTTCCTCTGAGGTCATATCCGATTTTCGACTTTTACGTCTTCGGCAATCATCATCTTCCGTGCCGGAACCACCATTGCTATTGCCCAAGCGATTCTTACAGTTGCCACTGCTTGAACCCCTGTTGGCCTCCTTTTTACCCTTGCTCACACTGTGTTTGTGACAATACGATCGCAGTTTAACGCCATCTTCGGCATTGCCCTCCTCAATAATGGCCCGCATTTCCAGGCCGTGCTGAAAAGCACAGGTCACATGATATGCGGTCTTACATGTTTTCACCGAACACTGTATACATGCGCCCACACGTCCTCGACAAAGTACACATACCAAAGACCATCTACTTGGTGGAATGCTGGAGATTTTCGTTATCGGTTCCATACGATCAACACACCCAATACTGACTTCTGGTATCCAGAGAGCGCATGAAACATGCGCCCAATGTTTGCCCGATTTCGTTGATTTCATTGCACCACCTTTATTCGGACATAATACACAGTCCGGTTTAATGCCCATTGAACATGTTCGACAAAGCCATTGGCCTACAAAGAATAAAGCATGAACAAATTGAACACACATTAAAACAAATACAGTAAAATAAAGTGTCATGTTTTGAAGTACTCACCCGATGGTATGGCTGTTATGCCATAACAGGCCTGATGCACACAAATATTGCAGTTATCACAGAAAACCATTTCATTAGCTTCCTCCGAATCAGGAGATCGACAAACATCACATATGACATTTTCATCATATTCAATACCCAAACCTTCTTCATTTTTTAATATAACCTGAATTTGTTCCCAACATCGTACCTACAACAAAACAAACAAAAATGAATTAAAATGGGATAATGGGACAAAAGAAAATGTATTTCTCCTTACCTCCAGTTCTTCGATAACACGTTCAAATTGAGTTTCACTTATGGCAAAGGGAGCACCATATTGTGCACGATCGGCATTGTATAATTTAAGCCATGACTCATCCACTTGATCAATGTCATAGGCGCATGAGTTTTCAGCTAATGCAACCACATTCGTTAGACAATGTAACTCCGGTGAGTATGTATCGTCTTTGGTTATGCGCAGGAAGCGGTTTTTTGGACTAAAAATATAAATAAAAGTATATAAATATTATTTTGTGAAAAATATAAAAAAAATCTACGACCCCATTGGTTCCTATATCATAAATGATCTTTAAAAATTAAGAGAATAAAATACAATTTTTATAATTCAATTTGCTACACTTACAGTTTAAAGTCATGAGCGGGTGGCACTATAGGTTCAGTCAACACTTCAACGTATGGTTCTGGCAATGAATCAGGATTAACTGGTACTTGTACACCACGTTCCCATTCTTGTTTCCATTGATCAGTAACAACTAGATATTCATAATTTGCCAGTTGTTCAGAATCTGGTAATTTCATTGCGCTTATGAGATCCTTGCTGTAAGGAAAAAAGACAAATTATTAAAAAAAAAAAAAACTTAAAAAAATGTATATTCATCATATTTACCGATAAAGCTCTGCTGGTGCTTCGGTTGAACTTCGATTATATATGCTAGACATTTTTATATCTGATACCGATCTTGCCTGCCATGCTGCTGCCGATGATGAACAACTTCCTTGTATACCCATGGCTTTGGAGCTTGTGGAACACATGGCTGTATCATCAACACAACCACTACCACCACCTGCTGCTGATGTTTTTGAAGCATGTACCGCTGCTGTTGGATTGTCGGTATCAATTTGTGTGTTATTATTTGTTTTATTGCTTGGTATTAATGAACTGGCACAGCTGGTACCGGCAGCAGCACCACCACCAGCCCCAAAGGCTGGATTAAGGTTTGGTACAGAAGCGGGCCCACCAGGGCCGCCTCCACTGCCACCACCACCAACATTGCTGCCGCTACTGCCCGCCACAACACCGCCGCCACCGCCTCCTCCGATGCCACCACTATTGGGTGGCCGTCCTTTACGTCTTTTTGTGGGTGGTGGCTGTGGTTCAACATCAAGTCTTGGATGATGCAAATGATTGCCGCGTTTACCTCTTTGTGACATAATTCCAGTGATTTAAACAGCGGCAAACACATGTATTGTGGCTTCTTCGTTGTTGACTTTTTCCAATAAAATTATTATCTTTTTGCTTTTTGTATGCTTGCTCACTTTTTGCTTTTCGGATAAGCAAAAAGTACCACCAATGTGTTTGTGTGAGTTTAGAAAAAGTTGGTCAGTTAGATTTTCTGTAATGTTAATAATACTCCACTCCAACTCCTGTGCTGCTTCTTCTTGATTTTTTGTTCTTCTTTCTTTCGTCTTGTGATATATAAATTGTTGATGCTATTATATATAATATTTGTGTTTTGTATTTTAGAATTATTATTGCTTAATGTCCTGCAAAAGGAAATGAAAATTACTATTATTATATTATTTTAGATTTCGCACATTATACTTACTACATATTTATAAAGAAGATTGGGTCAACATCAATATCATCAAGTCGTTGAGAATAGGCAGGAGGGAGGGAGTCAATTTGGGGGGAGAGTTCAATGCTATGCACCCGCACACACGGCATTGACAAAAAGAAAAGTTCTTACAGAGTCTTTGTGAGTATGTTAAAATTCCAATATTAATACTTGGCGTTTTATGGAGTATTTCTTCACTTGTGTTTTTTTCAAGTTTTTTTCATATAGTTTTTTTTTCGTCTTCGTTTTTTTTTTTGTTGTGGAATTATAATTACTTTTGACGGGTTAGTTGATTATTGATGCGATTTGCTGCTACTGCTGCTGCTGTTGTAAGGTGGTTGTTTCATTTGACGGTGCAATTGTGCGCAAAGGCGTGTGCTTCAGATTCTAATAATATTTATGTGTTTCTTCCTTAAGACGTCAAAAAAGGTTCTTTTCGTTCAAGGCATTACAATTCTTCCTTTTGGAATATTTTACAATAATTAGCTGCTTTCCCTATATAGAAACAGACACAAAAACAAAAACAATTTGCACAGTTGTACATTAGTTGTATATTTTTTGGTGGAAAAAGTAGATTTTTACGTTTCTTAATTGTTGTATTTTTGTATTAAACAGACTTTCTTTTCTATTGTTTCTTGTGTGTGTCGTTTCGTTTTTCTTTGCTCTTTTTTGCTTTGCAATTTCCGCCTTCTTGCGTTCGTTCTGTGCACTAATATTTAACGGCGTTGTGTGACGTCGGCGGCGACGTCGTTGTGGTTATTCATTCCCCCACAAATGATTTTGTGTGTATATTTTGTATGGTGGCAAAGAGGCAGCACAGCACAAATGAAATGTCAACACTTCATTCACAATAATGTTGATGGTGTTATTTTTATTTCATTTTCCTCTTTTTTAATCTGTTTGTTTAAAAAAATTCAACTGATTAAAACATTGTTGTTTTTGCATGTTTGTAGAATTGATTTGGAAATAATCACAATCCATTTTTATAAGGAAATAACTGAAGTGAAAATTTAATAAACATTTTGCCAAACTTTATATGCAATTCACAATAGTTGATTAGTTAAGTGCACTCTTCTTCTTTTTCCTTTTCATTTGGTTCTTCGCCGTTTGTCATTCTTGTTTCTTTTTTCGCCACAAATCACAATCACATTAGTTCTTTTTCTTTTCTTTCATTCTTGTACCACAGAAAAGTGGGGGGAACAATGAAGCAGAAAGAAACCCCAAGAAGAGGAAGCAAAATAAATGTCTTAATGGAGAGCACAAAATACATTAATGTGTAATATAAATATTTAAGGAATTTTACAGCATGCAACACTTTGTTACATATATTTAACTATTATAAACATGTATTATTTTACATTTACTTAATATTTAATATTTATTTTCACATTTTCGTTAAGCAGAATTAGCACATATATACCATAATTTAGCTAAATGAAATTACTAATCGTATTCTCTTGCTGCTTCTCTCTCACACACAAAAATTTCAGCTAGATGCAACAACAATAATAACACTAATGACAATTACACTATTATTGATCAGAAGTGTGCTTGCTCCTCCGTCAATCATTATAGAACACACTCATACACAATCATATACATAAGGACAATTCTCAGGAGACACACGGTATGAACCGAGGATAAATTGTGTTTATATTTTTTTACATTGCATTTAGCTATTTCTATTATTTCTTAATGAAATATTATATGCAAATTAAATGGCAAAATCAATGCAAATTTTCTCACAATATCAACAATTTGACAAGTGTAAACACAACAAATGTAAATTAGTTCCTCATGCTCTTGCACTGACACACACAATGATGAGGAGGACGCATAGATGATGATGACGACGATGATGATTAATGAAATCGGCGGTTCGCATTTTTTAGCCATTCGTCGTTTTGGGTAAAAGTAGAAACTTTTTTTGTATTGTAACTATCTTACAAATTCCCGCCATTAGTTGTTTTTTGTTAACAACAAATACATATGAACAAAATGTTTGTTGTTTTTGAACAATACTCTCTCTGTGATTTGTTGTTTTCACTTTGTGCAGCTCAAATAAAAAAAATAACAACAAAAACAACATGGCACAACGTCACACACACGCATACATATAAACAATATAGTAATGACGAAGGCGCGATGCTGATGATAAATTAAAAACGATTTTGTTGTTGTTTTGTCTTACAATTTGCATTCATTGGAGGGCAATATTGTTTCTGTTCGTTACTACAACGGTTTCTTTGCTTATTTTCTTTTTTTTTGCATGCCTTCCTCTTCTTGGCCAGACTCAATTTCAATCACTCACATCGCAAGTGCTACCAGCCAGCCACCTCTCTTCCGATGATTTTTCCTTACACTCACACTTCACTTCCATATACAACAAAAACAACACACATTTGAGGAGACGGCCAACAGCAGCAAAGAGACTATCGTTAACAACATCATCGCACACACACACACTCATCATTCATTTCATTCCTCTTTCTGCAGCCGCTGACCGACCGTACCGACCATTCATTATTTTCTTTTCTATTTTTTTTTTTGTTAATTCTTTTCCTTTAATGAAACAAATGAACGAACGAAAAACATTTAGCCGCTGCGTATTTCTTTAGCGTAAACTTAATATTTATATTCTTTACCATCTTTCGTTTCGAAGTTTTCAATCAATAAATTGTATATTCTTTTCACCAGTTGTGTGTATTGCAATCTTTTGCTTTTTTCTGTGTGTAATTACTTTGAGATTTGATTTTTCTTCGGTTTTTTGTGTGGCCTTTTTATTCTTTTTATTATCGACGTTCGTTTCTTTACACTACTTTTTTCTTTCTATCCACAAAAAAATTTACCACGAAAAGACAAGAAAAACTTTTGCCGCCGTAATTTTTATGTTTTTCAGTGAACACCCGAGAACATCCATTGATTTTATATGTCGGGCATTGCACGGAATTGTTATTCTTTCGTTTTTTACACGAAATATTTATTAATTTTCACTTTAAAAACACTTTTTTCTTGTTTAATATTTACAAGACGTCTTTGCAGTCGTCGCCATTATTAATTTTTGACTCCATATTGATTTCGCCGCAAACCGAATTCGCCAAATAACAGAGTTGTATGTTGTCAAATGGTGCTATTGTGAATGGTTAGAAGTAGTGTTGGCACAGGAGAATGTGATGAAATACTTGAATGCTTTTATATATATATTGGGAAAGAAAATTACAAATGATTATGAAAATTAGTAAATAAATATCTTTATAATCACAATGAATATACAGCGTTTTATTTACTTGTCTTTAGGGTGTTAAAAAAAAATTCAATTAAAAAAATAGAAGATTCTTTATACGGAAGATTCATAAATTTATTTTAATTTGTGATATATTTTTGTTTATTTAAATAGGTATAATCTTAATATTTTCTTTATAATTATTTCTTGTATAGTTGTGCCTATGTCAATAATACTTATGTCTATTTTACATATATAAATTTTGTATATACGTACACTTTTCTATTTCACAATATTATTGGAAGAAGGAGCACTTACGCAGGGACACCATGAATATAATGTAAAGAAAGTTAAATAATATTATGGTTTATTTATTAATTATATAACAGAGAAGGAAAAATATATATGTATATATAAAGAATGTCGACATAAAGGTTAATATGACAATTTTATCACAAATATGTATTAATTATTGTATACTATCGTGTTAACTTGTTAATGTGGTAAAATGTGTCATTACTTAATGCTACATTAGTTTTGTTCCAAAAAATACTTAAATATTTACTTAAATACTTATTTTAATTTTGAAAATATCCAACAAGAAATTATCGAAAATTAATTAATATTTTTGAGCAGCACTTTGTTTACCCCATAAATAGGCTACTGAAGTTATTGTACTATCAACGCGTTGACAATACATCCAATTTTATGTTACGCATGGTTGCTTCCAATTCAAATGTCGTCAAATCAGAATGTCAACTAGTTTTGTTTTCCTATTTTAACATTAAATTGTACTCTCAGAAGGATTCCTATATTTTTCGCATTTTTATAGTTTACTATATTTACTTTATTATTTTTCAGAATTGAATGTCATTATTTTCCAATACAATACAAACAAGTAATTGATCTTTAATTCCAATAATTTAAAAAAATAATTTAACATGTTCTTGCCATATTAAAGATGTTGACGTTTACAAAATTGTCTCGTTCTCTCAGTCTGCTAACAAGTACATTATCTTGCTTAGTGAACCCTATTAGTAATGCCAAGTTACAGAAATATTAAAGCCAGCGGTTATGTGTTCTTGACGCCGTACATTTCGTCTTGTCAGTTATGTCTATCAAAACTCAAAGGATTATTTGATTTTTTTTAAAGTGATAGAAATAATAGAAATTTTAATAACTTTCCAAGGGGGAAATGTATAATAATTGCAAACAATAAAATACAATTAAATAATTGGTCTGTACAAAGACCGCATGCCTCTAGAAAGGCCAATTGGTATGTATCGGGACTACAGGTCTTGGTCGGTATAGAATAATACTGCTCATGCATGGAAACTAATGCTTTTATTTATAAGCCTTCTTTTTTAAGTCACTTTATATGCCGGTTTCACATTTACTCTCCGACGCCTGTAATTGTGGGCACCTCCAGTGTAGAGACCACAGGTCTTTATGCAATTTGGCGACAGGTCGCTTGTAACAGTTCGATCTGCATACAGACCTCAATTCTAGAATAATAAAAACTTCGACACATTTACTTTATATATTCCATCTTTATTGTATATTTTATATCAATTGGCAGAATCTAAAACTATTGTGATTTCTTACTGGATAAAGTCTTTTTTTCTTTTTTGTTTTTGTTTTCTTCTTGTTTTTATAATATTTCAAATGATTTCATATAAATAATGATTATAATATATATAATTTTGTATGCATTATTACAATATGTATGTATATCGAGCTTCAGTCGAACAAATGCAATGTGACCAAGTAATGACTTTTAGTCAAAATTTGGAATAAAATTCGTAGATAGTTTTCTTTTTCACACTTTTCACATTCGTTTGTTCATTTATTCTTCAGCATCGGCAAATTGATCAACCGATAAGTTGTGCATGCCCGCACAGGCATTATCCACAGCACCAGAATCACCATTGCCTGATGAGATGTAATCGCCGGCATCATCAAATTCGCCCTCGCCATCTTCATCGTATTCCATGATATCACTATCTCCGGATATGCTATCGTCCGAGTCGGGATGTAATTCTTGGCATTCAGTCATGGCCTTAAACGGAGGTGGGAATAAATTTATAAATATTGGAAATTTTTGATTGTGGTATTTATTTACCTGATACATGGTATCCACAATGTTAACATCATCGGGCAATAACCAACACTCGGTTAGCTGGTCCTCTTCGGCATCAACAAAAACATCCTCCTCTTCGTCATCATCATCTTCATTATCGCTATTTCCATTAGCGGCATCCTCTGCACCATTTGTATCGGCTGTCTTGGCATGACCATTGCCATTGGCAACATGCTCATCACTTGCCCCGGGCCATCGAATGTGACGATCCACAACAAAACAAATACACTTCGATGGTATGCTGGCCGTACCATGTACACCAATACGTTTCCAGGATATTGACATGCCTTCGGGTTCATTGGCCGGTTTCCACATTAGTGAACTGCAAGCAAAAATAGTTTGTCAGTCTGGTTGTTGTTGTTTTGGCTTCTTTCTTTGTATTGCATTGTTATCGTGTGAATGGAACAAAACAATAGCCGTCGAACATTGACATTTCTCTTACCTATGACTGATGTAGACATTTCCTTTGCCCACAGTGTGTTGTTCAATTCTCAGTGTCACATTATCGGAGGTAAAAACAACTCCTTCGGTTGGTGGTGCTACTTGGCCGATAATTACCATTGTTGCCTCTTCTCAGCTATCCTTAATTCAATTCACGTGCCGGAATATAAAAGAAATGCCGATGGCCGATGTAAACAATTCTCTTTCTTGCCAAAAAAAAACCCACCGCAGAGGCTGTGCTAACCATTAAGTAACGGCGTTCGATATGCTGTTTGCAAATATCAAAGGTTGAGTAAGATAACGTAACTGTGACGTCGTGTGCTGCGTAAGTAATGTAACGCTAATTTCATTTTTATTTAAATTTTAAATGGGGTATGATTGACGATAAGATTGGTGAGAATGGTGTAAACGACAGGGTAAGTGAATCTGTCGTTAACGAAATGTTGTTGTAGCAACATAATACATGTCCAATATGAATTGAGGCGGTTGCACTATCCTGATAATAGTTGAGCTAAAACTACTCGTGTTTGCCTTGCAGCTACTTCTCCTCTGCTGCGATGTATGGGGGTGGTCTCCAATTATGGTATTCACGCGATATTGCTCTACTGTCTGAGCGACTGCGTCCGTATGAATACCATTCACGCTTGTACCTTTGGACTTCTCTCTCTAGATCATGAAGATCTTTCCTGACGTGCCTGGGTGGGGGAGTCCTGTCCATAGGGCTATGGCAGGGATGTTCCCGACGATAACACCCAAGCAAGTACTGCTTCGACAACATATAATTGTGACGATGGACGGGTAAGATATTCATTTCCTCATAAAGATGGTCCACAGGAGTCATGAGGAGACACCCTGTTGCAGTTCTCAGGGCAGCGTTCTAGCAGGTCTGGATATTCTTCCATTTCCGAACCACACTGGCGCCGCATAGCTTACCACTGAACGGTCTATTGCTTTATAAGAGGTCAACAAGGTTTCTTTGTCAGCGCCCCAAGTGCTACCGGCTAGCGACTTGAGGACCTTCTTCCTACTTCTCAGCTTATCGCATAAAGCAGTGGCTTGTGCGGACGACTTGAAAGGCTGTCGAACGTTGCTCCCAGTATCTTGGGGTAGTTGGTGGTCGGAATCAATTCTCCATCGACCATTATGTTCAGTGGGAGCTTCATTTCAGTCGTCCAAGTGGTGAACAGTGTGGCTGTTGATTTCGTGGCGGATATTTTCATATTCTTCAGATAGAAGAAGTTAACAAGATCGGCTATGTAGACGTTTAGCCCCTCACATATATCATTTTTAGTCGCCGAAGTTGTCGTCAACGACAACATCGCTTACCCTGTCGCCCAAGTTGTCTTGCATGAATACTGCGACACTTGTGTAAAAGTTTCGTCAACGATCTCGCATTGTTGTCTGCAAGGAATTGCCACTGCCTTGCACGATTCGTTAATGTTGTCTGCAAGACACTTTCTACTACTCTACTCTCGAGAGAAAAATCCTCCATTCGTGGAAAATATAGGAGTAAAATTTTTGGAATATGGCATTTCTTTTTAATCAACATTGGGTATTTTTCATACTTTGTGTACCCTTAGTGTTTGTGTTGTACGAAATAATTAAAAAGAAATAAAGAATTGAAACCACTATTATTATACTTAGAGCATATTTAGAGGATGTTGCTACTTCCAGAGAGCAAAAATCATGAATGTCTGTTGTGTTTTGCATAATATATGAATACAGAAACACCAGAAGAGAGACGTCCCCATGTAACCCTACTCCTAACCATGGCACAATGAATAGGTAGACCATTTGGAGCAGCAGATGCCTTGATTAACTGTCAAAGTGCGTAATTTCTACTTGAATTCGATGTGCAATGAAAAATTATATGGAAAAAATTGACAGATGATCGAGACAAAAACGAATGTTTTGATACCTTATTATTGCATCATGCTCCTAACCAATATCTTGCAGCTGCCCAAAACCTGAGAGAGAAAATTGGACAAGACAAGATTTGTATAACTTATACCAGAACACAACCCATTAAAGTAGTTTACTTTATTTTATTAAAACTTAAAATTAATATACAAATTTGTACTTTTTTTGAAAAAAAGTTAAAGAATTCATATCACACATGAGTCTTATTATTTAGTTAGAGGAAATTCATCAATTAAGTTGTTTCAATTGTAGGTTTGTTTTTGCCAAATTGTACTCTAACTCCCGTATTCGTAACTTCTCCATCAGAATGTTATGGCGCTTTATTTCATCCAGTTCATTTTCTTTGGATTTTTTCATTTCTTGATAATGTTTTTTCTGAAGATCTCCCAATTTTTGCTTCGTCTTTTTCATCGCCGATTGGCTGACTCCATTAAGATGTTCATTTGATCATGTTTCTTCACAGGCAGTACTTAAACATTCGCTGCGTCTCTTCATCATCGTCAATAAGAACAGAGTTTACTGCAACACCCTCTACAGACGATTTAATTTCAGTAAGATTATAGATAGCTTCTTCGGTGCTTGATAATTTTTGCCCCTTTGTTTGGACCGCCCCTGGGGGGTTAAAGCGAATTTACATATAACATTTAATCGTGATTAAAGGCTGAATCAGGGTTTATTTTCTTAATCAGGCTAAATTTACCATGATTTACCACAGAAATTTAAATCATGGTGCAGCAGGATTTATTTTAAATCATGATCGAAATCATGATACTACTGAGATGCAACACGGGTTTTCATTTTAGTAATATTGCAATATTTGGGTTCTTTTTGTACGAAAAAATACAACTCTCTCACAATGTACCAAAATTTGCTACTGTTTTTACATGCCGTTTGTTTTTAAATTTAACGGCTGACAAATACAAAAATGACAGATCAAAAGAAAATAAAAATTAATTAAAGAATTTTTGTGTTTTTAGGTGTTTTTTTTTACTTTCCAAACGATCACAGTATTGCAAAAACATTTCCATTGTGGTAATTCTTCTCTTCTTTTTCAAATTGCAAACATATATTTTTGGCGCAAATTAATAATTTTGTATGTATACTAACAAACATCAGCTGATCGGCATTTAGATCATGATTAAGGGTATGTGTAAACAATTAGGGTGTATTTCTGGATTTCGTTAATCGAGTCGATTTAAAATCGTATATATAAATGTACTTTTACTCTGTATTGCGATGCGTAAGAAAAATTGCGTCGCATCGTGTAATAGGTACTCTCTAATTCGTTTTCGTATCCTCTTTCGCATCTACTTTACGCAAATGTGGCATCACCGCAATCTGTAATACGAAAACGCATGTCAAACTCGTTCGTTAAACGCAAATATCTTGCGTTAACAAAATAGCAAACGCAAATGAAGCAAAACATGTAAGTAAGCACAATTAAAGGTTTTATTTATATCTAAATTAATATTTATTTTAGTTGAAAGCCAAAAAAGGCACAGTGTTGCAATCTCAGCATCGCCAGTTCCAACTTTAGTAGATTTTATGGCGCAATACAGCGGTTTGGCAAAGGGACAGCTGCAGAGTTCAAATGTGAAACAACGCGCCAACAATTTGTAGACAAAACTGGATTATGACCTTAATTCAAATGGACCTTCTGTAAGAGATGTCGCTGGTTGAAAAAAAGTAATGTTTTATATTTTTATATAAAATGTGAAACTACAGGTCTGTTTCCGTACTGCAAGAATCTACTACTTTTTACTACGATAACAAATTTTCCTTTATGATATCGAAGAAAATAGTAAAATCGAGTAGATTCTTGCAGTACGGGAACAGACCACATATGTGTGCATATTTAAAGGTTGGTGTTGATAACCACCTTGTCGAAACAACTTCAAAGCAGCGGCCACTTTTATTGGAGTTGGAATTGCTGTGGATCTATTTAGAGCGACGAGGACATTTTTGATAGCGTCTACCAGATACATTAACGCATCTTTATTGAGACGAAAATTTTGCATAAATTTACTAAAATTAAATATTTTAAAACGTTTGTCACATAATTTGTACTTCTATTTTCATACCCGTGTTTACTTTGGGAGAGTATATTTGATTGATCACTTAAAATTCTTTTTTTAATTCGTTAATCATTTTTGTTAAAAAAAAAGCACTCGTACTACATAACAATATGTTTTTATTTAAAATTTTTTGACGTTTCCTTTTGTCATGCTTCGTTATTGTTTTTACTTTGTGGTGCCAGCGTTGCCCTATTTTCGATTTAATTTGCGAATGCGTTTGCGTGAGCGATACAGAGTACTAAATTGTATATTAACGCATTTAGCTTTCGCAACGCAATACAGAGTAACCCCCATGTTCCTGTTTTGTATTTCAAATTCTGTGCAGCTTTTTGCATTACATATATTTTTTTGGTCAGCCCAAACATATTTTAAGTAATTTTGAAGAATGAATGGTGCTCTTATTAGGTGGTCCCATAGAATTGAGTTCATTTTCGGTTTTTTTTTCAGAACAGAATAAGAGACTTTTTGCTCCCTTTATAAATTCCACGTGAAATGTCAGGATGTAATTTCAAAACTGACACGAAATGCTGCAATTGGGTTTTATTTGTCTTCGACCTACAAAAAATTAATTTATTTTTATATATATTTCGATTTATATTTGAAAAACCATACTTACATTTGTATCTCCCTTAGATTTTGTTTGTGAGATATTTTTGAGAGGAAAAACACAAATCGAACTTTCTTATGATGCCTACTTTTTCTCCTTTTCCTTTTAATTCCGCGCGGAATTTTCTTTACGATTGGGAAACAGGGAAAATAAAAAAAATCCGCACGGAATTATTTTTGATGATTGGGCTGATTAATTGGCCATCAAATGACAAAAAATAGATAAGGTTTAAGGTGTTTTTTTTTAATCATAAAACACTCGTAGAAAAAATCAAAACAGTGGCACTCGTCTTTAGCCATATTTATGATCTATCTTATATATTATTTATATATTTATTGGTATTTCCTTCAATTTAATCTTATCAATGGCAAACAAATTGCCCAATATATTACAAGAAAATATAGAATGGACATGCGAAGTATTTTAAAATATTTTGTGTTTCAAAAATTATTTTGTGGTGCGAATTTTTTTAATGGATTTTTTGGAGTTATTTTTTATATAATTTAAAATAATTTTGTGGTGCGTTTTTTTTAAATTATTTTTTATACAATTTAGATTCGATTTTTTAAAATAATTTTTAGGCAACCATCATTGGTGTGGATTTTCATAAATTATTTCCTAAAATCAAATTGTAGGCGTGGATATTTTAAAAAAATATATATTTTTTTAATACCTCCTCTTATTAAATGTTAGAAATAAAACAACCATAAAATCAAAAACTTCTTCTATTAAAATACTGTTACAAGTGGTTTCGAAATTTCATTTAACATTTTTAATTAGTATGAAATGCCAGTAATGGCCTTTATCCATTGCAAATAGCTTGTGACACGTACAAATCCGGATGGATAACCTTCGGCACAGCCAGCAGCAGCAACAAAAGAGGTCACACCGACCAACACTTGATTCGATTCCAAAACCAATGGACCACCGGAGTCACCTTGGCAGGTGGAGGTACCACCTGTGGTTGCCACACAAATGGTGTTCGATGTTACCACAGAGCTGCCATAGGTGGCAGCACACAAAGTGTTGGAAATGATTTTCAATGGGACATAATTCAAATTTGGCGAAACCGTTGAATCTGGAAATTTCGAAGAAAATTAAATTAAAAAAATTCAATATTTGCAAACTACATACCATCCGATGTACGACCCCAACCCGAAGCAATGGCATACTCGCCACCATAAGTGGAATAGGATGATGAAATGGCAGGCAATTGAACGGGTTGTATGGAACTGCTGAATGACACTGAGGGTATTCTGATCAGGGAAATGTCGTTCGCCAAAATTTGGGAATTATAACCGCTGTGTTGGAAAATATCTGTAGCATCAACTGTATAGCTAACCTTGGGACTGGTGCGAACAGTGCTGCCCAAATAGACAGTCACAAATTTGGCACCCGACGTACAATGGGCAGCAGTCAAGACCCAATTTTTACCAATCAAAGAACCACCACACCACGAAGAGGAAAGGAGACTTTTTTGCAGCGATAGTCCCACTTGCCAGGGAAATTGATCTTCAACAGCGGGAAAGCCATTTGTTATGCGTCCTCCCAAGATGTCGCTGTCACCCATTTTGGCATCCATCAAAGGGATGGGTTCCGCTTTGGGTGGTGCTGCCAAAACACAGCCCACTAGGCTTAACAATAAAATTATACTTTTCTTCATATTACGTCCCCACCAGCTGCAGAATTCGTTTGATACTAAAATGCCAATTGGCCGTTTAATAAATTTTATATAGAACACAGCCAAAGGGTAATGTTCGAAAATCCATTGCGTAGTATTGGCATAAGAATTAAAATCATGAAAAAGATATTGAAATTCTGATTGGAAAATTGACAATGATAAGATAGGTGGTGGTGGTGGCAGACTAATGTCTAATATAAAAATGTGGGGAAAATAATTGGACGTCATTTGTTTTTTTTTCAAAAAAAAAAAAAAAATTGACCGGGCCAATCTTATTTCACCCTACCCTTTTCCAATTGTGAGTGGCTGAAAGATTGGTTTTTAAAATCCATGGCGTTATTGGTGGAAAAATTTATAATTTAAAAAAAAATTAAAAAAATCTACACCTACTTTAGGCACTGAAAATATATCTTAGAGAAGCTCGTGCGTTGTGTGCCAATAAAGCGGGCCCCACGTTGGGTGCCAATAAAGAACGCTTCACTTTGGGTTTCAATGGAGCAGACTTCATGTTGGGCGTCAATAATGCACGCTCGTGGAGAGCTGTTATGGCTTCATCCGGAACAACAAGATTTAAAATAATGCTTTTACTCCTTGTTTAGGAACTACTTCCAGCTTATGATCTGAGCCCATCAACTTAGGCCAGCGTGGTTAATGATCTTAAGCCTTCAGTGTTCGCTAAACGAATTAGAATCGGAGAGTCCAGACTCGGAGTGTAGCGATTTTATTGAAATTTTGGTTTGCTTAGGTACTACATTTGAGAAGCGAGATTCTAATCTAGTATTGGTTGTATAAAAGTGTATTATATTCAGAGGTGTAATTTTATGGTACTATTTACAGATTATTTACATAAGTGGCCGTTAATTTCAAATACTTAAATGTTAAATGAGCTAAGTGTTTACACTATCGCAAATAAAATACATAATTTGAATAAATCCAATAAGGTAAGTAGTAAAGTTGGAAGGGGCCGACTATATGATACCCTTCACTACGTTGGGTATATTCAACAGATGGAATCCTTACAGACGTCGCATTTTTGAAGGACCATTAACATGAAATTAAACATGTCATTCTGAAACTTATACTAAATTTTGATCAGATATAGAGATATGGGGACTTTGGTGCACCATTTACATAAAATCGGACGAAAAATTATATGGGAGCTATATCTAAATCTGAACCAAATTTTCTCAATTTTAATAGGGTTTGTCCTTGGGCCAAATAAATGAACTGTGTCAAATTTCATTCAATTCGAGTCAAAAATGCGACCTGAACTTTTTTACAATTTAACATGGACAGACAGACTGACGGACATGCATAAATCGACTTAAAAAGTGATTCTATGCTTATTCTCAAAAGGAACCATGTGTCTATCTCGTTTCTTTTTGCCTGTTACAAACATATGCACATAATACCCTGTACCACAGAGTGGTGAAGGGTATACAAATGTGGGGAAAATAGTAGGACGTCATATGTTAAAAAAAAATGACCGGGTCAATCTTATTTCACCCTACCCATTTCCAAATTTGAGTGGCTGAAAGAATGGATTTTAAAATCCATGGTGTTATTGGTGGCAGAAAAAATTATTAAAACCCAGTGAGCGAACAGTATAGTCGGACGGGCCGACCATATGATACCCTACACAACTTCGACGAACATTTCATGGAACATTTCAAAGCGATCAGCGCTGTATTTCCGCCCTCTGGTGGGGTAATGGGTTACTAAATAATATCTGAATATGTAAGCACCCGTAAATATTTAAGTGTAATTCCCGCATCGGAGTACATACGTCAATATAATTGGCATCAATTTAAAGGTCAACAACTCCTTTTGGATATACTATCAACTTCTCGGCTCTATGTCCTTCAGGAATAATTTTGTCATTTTTCACACAAAAGTCAAATGGACCCTGACCCGCTAAATATTGACCGATAGGCATGCTTATTCTTTGGCCCAATCCCCCTTCTCCATGTAAAAATTGTTTGGATGAGATGTTTGGGCCATAATTGCGGTCTCTGGAACGACCAGAAAAACCGACAAAAATTTAGTATTTGGTCCGTTTCATCCCCTAAATATTAAACGATCATTACCAAAAACTATGGGGGTCTTCATTGGGCCGAACCCATCCTAAATGCAAAATTTCGTGAAGATTAGTTCATAACGGTGGCCTGTAAGTGTTTACAAATTATAATGGACAGATGGACGGACGGACACACATGTCTAGATCGACTCAGCTAGTCGAGATATGACAATCGGTACACTTAAAGGGGGGTCTAGGACCAATATTTCGCGGCGTTACAAACTCTTGTGCCTGCACAAAGCTATAATATCCTGACAACATAGTTGTGTAGGGTATAAAAATCCACGTTTAAATTAAATACTGGAAAAATAATTAAAAAAAAATCCACGTTTAAATTAATTACTGGAAAAATAAGTACAAAAATTAAAAGAATCTACGCCTATTTTAGGCACTGAAAATATATCTTGAAAAAAATCACCGCCTACATCAGGCACTGAAAATATATATTTAAAAAATCCATGCCTGCTGTTAGTCCTTGAAAAAAATATTTTCATTATTTTTCTTGAAATATTTCTGTAGTTATTTTTTTTAATATATTGGGAAATTCTGCAACTGATAAGATTAAATATCAATAACAATCAATAATAATAGGAATGTGTATTGCAAAAAATCTTATATAGATCATCAAATAAATATGGCTAAAGACGAGTGCCATTTTTTCGATTTTGCATTGGTTTTTTGGTAATTGAAAATTAATCTAATCTATTTGGCATTAGATGGCCAATTAATATTCGGGAATAGCTAGAACACATTCATATTTATATTTCTAACTATATGTATTCCAAGGTTTTTTAAATATTTTTGGCTTTCCTTTTCATTGCAAAACTTAGATCATTAAGCTCGACTCGAAAGAGTATAAATAATCACTTTAAAGATTACTTTCAAATGATCACTGCCCTTACAAGGAAAAATTCAAATAACAAAAATTATTTCAGCTGAGCACGGCTAGGGCTCGAACTTCGGTCCTCGGAGCAACACAAATGTTATCAGACCACTTAACGTTCTAAGCCATCAACACACTTCCAAAAACGGTTGCGCAATTGTAGGTGTGTGGATTAATTATCCGTCGCTACAACAAAAATCTGCTTTGAAAAGGACTGTTCCTAGAATTGAAGACAAATGTCGAGCTTTGCCAAATTTGAATATAATTCGCATATGCAAGTTTCGCATCAGGGCGGAATAAATACAAGTTATCAACATACGACCTTTGTAAAGCCACATAGCCCAATATGTCTGATGAGCCGCTTAACCAACGGGAAAACGCGTCGCATAATGGTGGGTACGTAGGTTCTTCTCCTGGCTTTCCTTTTCATTGCAAAACTTAGATCATTAAGCTCGACTCGAAAGAGTATAAATAATCACTTTTTTCGAAATATTTCTTTTAGTTGTCAGTTTTTGGTAGAAACACTTAAAAAATATATATTTTTTTAACAAACAGTTATCGACGTGGATTTTCTTATTATGTATTTGACCAACATATGGCGTGGATTTTCTAAAAATATTTTTTTTTCAAACGAATCTAGTTTTTAAAATATTTTTTTACGACCCCCTGGAAATCAAAAGAAATTCTTAAAAAATAAAATAAAAAAATTATATTATTTTCACATCAATTTATTTGTAAAATATCTCAAAATCCATTTAGTAGGCAATGCCAGTGTTCTCCTTGATCCAGTCCAAATAGCTGGTGACACGGACGAAACCAGCTGGGGCACCAGATTGGCAACCAGCCGACGAAACGAAAGAGGTGACACCAATCAATTTGCCAGAGTTAACCAAAGCCAATGGGCCGCCAGAATCACCACTGCAGGTCGAGGTACCGCTGGGAGTGGCAGTGCAAATGTTCTTGGAGGTGATGATCAAGCTACCATAGGTATTGGCACAGACACTGTTGGTGATGACTTCCATGGGGGCATATTGCAATTTGGAGGCAACAGCGGTGGCAGAGTCAGAGACCAAACCCCAACCAGAGGCAATGGCCATATCACCGGCATAGGTGGAGTAGGACGAAGAGATGGCTGGCAATTCGATTTTCTTGATGTAGGCGGTGTAGGTGACCGAGGGGATTTTGATCAAGGAGATGTCGTTTCTCAAGACAATGGAGTTGTAGCCGGAATGTTGACGGAATTCACTGCTGGCAACAGTGTAGGTGACCTTGGGGCTGGTACGGACAGTGGCGCCCAAATAGACGGTGGCAGAGGAGGCACTAAAAGTATTAGGGAATTTGTTAGTGTGTTTGAATTTCGAGAGAAATTCCTACAACTTACCCATTGGTACAGTGGGCAGCAGTCAAAACCCAATTGTTGTCAATCAAAGAACCACCACACCACCAGCCACCGCTGGGGCTAGAGAAGCTCAAACCAACCTGATAGGGAAATTGACCTTCGGCAGCATCCTTGCCATTGGTAATGCGACCCTCAACTTCAAGGATCTCTGGCAAGAAACGGGGTTGCATAAATTTACCTTCAGGCAGGATAGTTCCAGCTGAAGCTGTGGCAATAGCCAAGGCAAGAACAACGAACACTTTCATGATGTCTACTAAGCAGATGGCCTGTTCAGGCTATTGCGGGCATATTTATACCATCCGAAAAATAAACAAACAAATAAATTATTATTATTGTTTTTATTTTATCGCAAGGCAGCAGTTATCAGGGATATTTTTTGTCACGGAAAATCAGGTTAATTTTGTCGTCAGTGAATGGTAAATCCAAAGATATAGTCCCTTAATAAGTGTACTTTGTGCATAGTGTTAACTGATAGTGGAACTTGCTTCGAATAACTTCGAGAAGTGCAAATTGTTATCAGTTGGAAAGTTGATAGTACATAAAGGAAAATTTCCCACAATAGAAATTGTCGTGTGCCTGGATAAACCCATCAAATGGTCGGGTCGGGCTATTAATACCTTCTTTTTGTGATAACAAATTTCTTTCTATCGATGATAACAATGCAAGCCAACCTGGCCATCTTTGGTATAAATATGTCCACAATTGTCAAATAATGTTATAAGTCTCTTTGTTTAGTGGACAGTCATTATGAAAGTGTTTGTTGTACTCGCCTTGGCCTTGGCCACCGTTTCGGCTGGAACTATCCTGCCTGAACAGAATTTTATTCATCCTCGTCAATTGCCAGTGACCATCAATGCTGAGGGTCGCATTACCAATGGCAAGGAAGCTGCTGAAGGTCAATTCCCCTATCAGGTTGGTTTGAGCTTCTCCAGCCCCAGCGGTGGCTGGTGGTGTGGTGGTTCCTTGATTGACAACAATTGGGTTTTGACTGCTGCTCACTGCACCAGCGGGTAAGTTAAATAACTTCTACCAAAATTTAAACTTCACTCTATCAAATTTTCTTTTCTTTTAGTGCCTCCTCTGCCACCGTCTATTTGGGCGCCACTGTCCGTACCAGCCCCAAGGTCACTTACACTGTTGCCAGCAGCGAATTCCGTCAACATTCCGGCTACAACTCCATTGTCTTGAGAAACGACATTTCCTTGATCAAGATCCCCTCGGTCACCTACACCGCCTACATCAAGAAAATTGAATTGCCCGCCATCTCTTCGTCCTACTCCACCTATGCCGGTGATATGGCCATTGCCTCTGGTTGGGGTTTGGTCTCTGACTCTGCCACCGCTGTTGCCTCCAAATTGCAATATGCCCCCATGGAAGTCATCACCAACAGTGTCTGTGCCAATACCTATGGTAGCTTGATCATCACCTCCAAGAACATTTGCACTGCCACTCCCAGCGGTACCTCGACCTGCAGTGGTGATTCTGGCGGCCCATTGGCTTTGGTTAACTCTGGCAAGTTGATTGGTGTCACCTCTTTCGTTTCGTCGGCTGGTTGCCAATCTGGTGCCCCAGCTGGTTTCGTCCGTGTCACCAGCTATTTGGACTGGATCAAGGAGAACACTGGCATTGCCTACTAAATGAATTATGAGAAAATTGAATAAACTTCGAGCGATTTAAAAGAACTTCAATTTGTTTTTCTCGGATACGAAGGCTAACGAGAAGCATGGCTTATTTTTTTAATATTTTTGTCGCTGCCTAAAATAGGCGTGGATTTTTTTGTTAAATATTTTTCAATGCCGGATGGATTTTTCAAAAATATTTATCAGTGCCAGAATTGTCGTGGATTTTTTTTTTAAAACTATTTTTTATACCCTTCACCACACTGTGGTAAGGGTATTATGTCTTTGTGTATATGTCTGTAACAGGCAAAAGGAAATGAGATAGACACATGGTTCCTTTTGAGAATATGCATAGAATCACTTTTTAAGTCGACTTATGCATGTCCGTCCGTCCGTCTGTCCATGTTAAATTGTACAAAAGTACAGGCGGCATTTTTTATTCGAATTGAATAAAATTTGGCACCGCTCATTTATTTGGCCCAAGGACGAACCCTATTGAAATTGGGAAAAATCGGTTCAGATTTAGATATAGCTGTCATATATATTTTCGTCCGATTAAAAGTAAATGGTGTACCAAAGTCCCTATATATCTTTCGATTTGCATGAAATTTGGCATAGCGTACTGAATTAAGTCTAGAACGACGTGTGTTAAATTTCCTGAAAATCGGTTCAGATTTAGATATAGCTCCCATATATATTTTCGTCCGATTTTAGGTATATAGTGTACCAAAGTCCCTATATATACTTCGATTTGCACGAAATTTGGCATAGTATTCTGAATTAAGTCTAGAACGATGTGTTTAAAATTTCGTGAAAATCGGTTCAGATTTAGATATAGCTCCCATATATATTTTCGTCCGATTTTAGGTAAATAGTGTACCAAAGTCCCTATATATCTTTCGATTTGCATGAAATTTGGCATAGCGTACTAGATTAAGTCTAGAACGACGTGTGTTAAATTTCCTGAAAATCGGTTCAATTTTTAGCTATAGCTCCCATATATATTTTCGTCCGATTTTAGGTAAATAGTGTACCAAAGTCCCTATATATCTTTCGATTTGCATGAAATTTGGCATAGCGTATTAGATTAAGTCTAGAACGACGTGTGTTAAATTTCCTGAAAATCGGTTCAGATTTAGATATAGCTCCCATATATATTTTCGTCCGATTTTAGGTAAATAGTGCACCAAAGTCCCTATATATCCTTAGATTTGCACGAAATTCGGCATAGCTTACTGAATTGAGTCTAGAATGATGTGTGGTAAGTTTCGGAAAAATCGATTCAGATTTCGATATAGCTCCCATATGTATTTTCGTCCGATTTTAGGTAAATAGTGCACCAAAATCCCTTTATATTCTTCGATGTGCACGAAATTCGGCATAGCTTACTGAATTGAGTCTAGAATGATGTGTGGTAAGTTTCGGAAAAATCGATTCAGATTTCGATATAGCTCCCATATGTATTTTCGTCCGATTTTAGGTAAATAGTGCACCAAAGTTCCTTTATATCCTTCGATTTGCACGAAATTTGGCATAGCATACTGAATAGAGTTTAGAATGATGTGTGGTAAGTTTCGGAAAAATCGATTCAGATTTCGATATAGTTCCCACAAATACATATATATTTGTCCGATTGTACACAAATGTTGCACCAAACTCCTAATGCATGCATATGTACAATATACTCAAAGTGGTGAAGGGTATCATATAGTCGACCCAGTCCGATTTAACTACTTTCCTTACTGGTTTTTCATTTTAAAAACTTTACGATTTTTCACAAATATCTTTTTTTCAGTATATTTGCTTTTTAAATCCCTTGTCCCAATTAAAAAAAATCAGATGTTCAGTTGTTTTTTCAAATGTTTAATTAATTTTTATTTTATTAAAACATCAAATCAATAGCCTTTCAAATATTTAGTAAGAAATGCCAGTCTTGGATTTGATCCAATCCAAATAGCTAGTGACACGGACGAAGCCAGCTGGGGCACCGGAAGCGCAACCGGCCGAGGACACGAAGGAGGTGACACCAATCAAAATATCCGAAGATTCCAAAGCCAAGGGGCCGCCAGAATCACCTTGGCAGGTAGAGGTACCCTTGGGAGTGGAAACGCAAATGGTGTTGGAGGTGACAACAGAGGAACCATAGGTGGAGGAGCAAACGCTGTTGGTAATGACTTGGAGACGGGCATAGTTCAAGTAGGTGGAAACGGAACCGGCTGTAAAGAAATTTGCACATTTAATATTTATTTTTGAAATTCAAAATTGTTTTGGTGTACTTACTATCAGAGGTACGACCCCAGCCGGAGGCAATGGCGTAACTGCCAGCATAAGTCGAATAGGAAGATGAAACGGAGGGCAATTTAATCGATTTGATTTGAGAGGTATAGGTAACGGCGGGGATCTTAATCAAAGAGATGTCATTGGCCAATGTTTTGGAATTGTAACCGGTGTGTTGGTTGATGGCACTGGAACTAACAGTGTGGGTGACGGTGGCAACAGTACGAGTGGTCGAACCCAAGTAGACGGTGGCGGAGGTAACGCCATCAGTACAATGGGCAGCAGTCAAAACCCAGGTGTTGCCAATCAAGGAACCACCACACCAGAAAGAACCGGAACTGGTCTTCAATGACAAACCAACTTGATAGGGGAATTGACCGGCAGTAGCCTTCTGGCCATTGGTGATGCGACCCTCAATGGCATCTTCGACAATCAAGTCGCGTGGCACGACAGGGGTGTCGAAAATGGAGGCAGCCGAGGCCGAAGCCAAAACACAGGCAAAAAGAACTACGAATACTTTCATGGTGCTGAAATCACTGTTCCGAATGAGCCATAGAAGTCTGATTTTATATTAAATGACGTCCCAATATCCACCCATTGCCAAATCTTATCATTAAAGAACTTTTCACAGACACCTGCAATTGGGAAATCCATGTGATAAGTGTGAAATCACAACAAGTGGTGTTTTCGTATCTTAAGTGTGTGTTCAAAAATAAATGCAAAATAATTAAAAAAGAAACGGAATTAGCTTCTTTCACCAGATAATATTCGCAAACATCGAGGCTTATCTGATTTTATTTTCTCCGTTTTTTTTTTGTGTTTACACAATGGTCGCGCGACCAGAAGGTTCAACATTAGTTTTGGCAATTCCCAACTATCTTATCGATTAGGGGCTCAAAACTATCCATAAATTCTAGGAAATTTGGATTTTTTAGCAGTAATTAATTTATATTTTAATTTAAGTTCATTCTTTTTTTTTGTTGTTTTTATTAAGGATAAATTAAAATAGTTATAGGAGGGGATTAAAAAAAGGTGTCCAATATCAGGCGTGGATTTAAAAAAAAACATTATTTTCAATGACCAACAAAAGATTTGAGAGATTTAATGGTGGGAGCCACTTGGAAAATTATGTGTGAAAAATCACAAATCGCATCAATATTGACCGATCTTCAACAAAACAATCATGCTTATTCTTTGGCCAGATTCCCTTACTCGTGTAAAATTTCATACCTGTGGCCTCTAATTTAATTCAAACCACAACTAAAGTTTCTAATGACAATTGCAGACATCCCTGTCTAATTGGGCTTGCGCCAAAGTCTTGGTGTAAAGCCCACTAAAACAGAACTGGTGCTCTTCACTAGGAAACTCAAGATTCCTAGTGAAGTCCTAGGAGTGACTTCAACCCTTTCTGATAAAGCAAAATATCTTGGCACCATCCTTGACCGCAATCTAACGTGGAATAGGAATGTTGAGGAACGCTCTAAGAAAGGACAGCTGGCACTCTACACATGTAAGAATTCCATAGGTAAGAGCTGGGGAATAAAACCCGAGATCATACACTGGTTGGATGTGACGATTGGCCTCCCCATTTTTACATATGGTTGCCTTGTTTGTTGGCAGGGGGTTAACAAAAAGATGCTGCTGACAAAATTGAGTTTAGTACAGCGATCGGCTTCAATCCTGATCATCGGAGCGTTAAGAAGGCAGCCTTGAACGCAATTTTGAATCTCCAACCTTTGGACATTCTGATTAAATTCCAGGCGGCCAGGTGTGCCCTGAGACTCCGGGATCCTAAACATAACGCCAGGATATGGCCTCTTTAGGGGGAATAGTTATATTAGTGATTATGTTCCCCCTCATAGGGAATTTAATGACATCAAAGTTGAATTTCCTAGTAGGGAATCCTGGACTAGTGGCTCCTTACCTCTGCCAGGTCTGTCAATCTTTACAGACGGGTCTAAGATGGAGGAAGGCACTGGCGCAGGTGTTTACTGTAGGGAATTAGGAACATATATCTCATATAAACTCAACAATCTCTGACGGTACCGACTATATATGTCGATAGTCAGGCGGCCCTTAAAGCGGTGAAGTCGCATACCATAAACTCAAAAGCAGTTCATGATTCCAAGTCCGCTTTGATTGATATACGACAGATAGTTGGTTTATGTTGGGTTCCAGGACATAGTAACATTGAAGGGAATGCGATAGCCGTCGTCCAATCTTCCGATTGGGAGATCTGTGAAACCTCCCATCGGCTATTTCATTGGCAGAATCCGTGCGTTCTACTGGGATGTAGTCGGCAACAGATGGCTAAGAGAACCTGCTTGCAGAATCTCAAAATCTATCTTGTCTGAATTCTCTCGTAGAAGAACGTCTTCGCTGCTGACACAGAATAAGAGGGAGATTAGATCTCTCACTTCGAAGTGGGACTCCAGTGGAGAGGATTACTGTCGTCTATGTGAGGACGAAGAGGAACTGGAAACAATTGAACACATCCTCTGTAAGTGTTCATCGCTGATTAGCAGAAGACATAAACAGACCGATATGAAATTGATAATCTAGTCTTCTTCTCTAAAATAGACCCAAACCAGATCCTAGGCTTTGTCAAACATTTGACACGGCTAAAATAACCTCTCTTCCGCTCTTCTTCCCTCACTATCTATTCTCCTTGCTCATCCACTCTCTATTTTTCTTTTCTTTACAGGTAATATAAAAGGATGATCACAATGGACATAGTCTCCGAGTGGACGGTTGTTATTAACAGCCGTATATCCCTAACCTAACCTTGTGGTTTTGCAAAAATTAATTTTAAACAAAATAACGAAAATCATCTTGATAAATATTGGTATTTTTTTGTGGTGTATTCCAGTCATAGAGTTACTTTCAATTGGTCTGTTCCCGTATTACAAGAATCTACTTTTTACTACGGTAACGAATTTTCCTTTATGATATCAAAGAAAATAGTAAAATCTAGTAGATTCTTTCAGTACGCGAACAGAGCCCTCTGTCGTTTCCTCGACAGACCAAATATAGCCCATTGTGTAAAAGCAATAGGGCTGCTACAACAACAACAACCAAATATAACCTATTTTATAGGAAGAAGTAAAAATATGCCGCCAATCGTCAATGTTTTAAAGCATAGCCAGGAGGACGCAGGGAGTCGAAGTACGCGACTTCGAAGCACCTTCGACGAAAGCTATCTGAAAGGTATTGGAAGGCATGCCACCAGGAAACCATCTCGACACAATCGTTACCTGGACAAAAGTTCGGTCAAGCTATCTAGAATATTTTTTAAAAAATCAAGTCCAGTATTTTTCAAATTCCCCGTCTTTTTATAGTAGGAAACATATTTTAGAGAGGAAATGTGTTTGCTATGTGCGTTATAAGCGTACTTGACTGTAAATTGTTTTACTGCATTATTCGCATTACGTGAACCACCCTTAAATTTGTTGCACCCTGATATAACATATGTCACACAATCGATAACATATGTTATCGAACAGGTGTTTACTTTGCGAATGCCATCTCTAGCTCTCCCAAACAAATGCAAAGCAAAGAAAAAGAAGAAGAACAAAACTAAAGACTATGTATGATGGAAGGAATTGTTTGTGGAATTGCAAAAATTAATTTTAAACAAAATAACGGAAGTTATCTTGACGAGAATTGGTAAGTATTAGGCAGAATTTTCCAGGCCAAAGCATGATATTTATGAGATTCATGTTTTTGTTGCAGTACACCCAATTTGATGCAAACTCCTGAAGAAGTAACGAAAATGGCGCTGATTTGCAGTGGCGAGCAGTTGGCCTCTACTTCCTACAGCTGTCAAAAGGTAACAGATGATCTTGATTGTAGTAATGGTGATGAGGACGTCGAAGATTGGCCAAATAATAATGATGCACTGGATGGCCAGCAAGACGACCCAACGGGACGTAGTCGAAATACACGACTTCGTCGTAGCAGTATTGCTGGTGGCGGCACCTTTGCCGAAAGACGCCAACTGCCCTCTAGAAGCTCCAAGGAAAACAATCTCAACAGTATTAAGCGACGTACCATTATGAAACCTTCGCGACACAATAGTTCCCTAAACAAAGACTTTGCCAGTTTGAAACCTGCCGAAATAAAGAAGATCTATTTAAATAAGAAGCTCACAAAATTCAGACCTGCCAGCCTGGAAACAATTTTCGAGGAGCCAACCTCAGCGGGGGGAAATGCCGATGATGATGATGATGCTGAGAGTGGACAGGTTCGTTTTATTGGCACCCGCAAATTAAGACGTGTCCTGACATGTAGTGACGGTTTTGTTTTCAACAAAGCTTTAATTAAAAAACGACGTGCGAAAATTAAGAAAACCTTTGGTCGTCGTTTGTCGTTGAAAAAAATCTCCTTGGAAGAGTTTTTGGAGAAGCTCAATAACAGCATGGAAGAGCAAGATGAAGAGGGTGAGAAGAAAAAAGGTAATTCAACTCCTCCTCAGGGGAAAATAACTGAAACAATGGAGGATATTTCTGATGAGAATATAGAGACTGAAATGGACGCAATGCCCATACCAACCACAACAACAATACCAACACCACTAACCACACTACCAACAACAGCAACAATAACAAATTCTGTTAATGCATGTAGTACTAATTTAATGGCTCATCATTCAATAACTTCACCCACATTTTTACAAACAACTCAATTTTTACCCTAAAATTCGTATATCATATTATTGAAAAATTATTATATCGTTTCAATTGTTTCATATTTTAGTTTTACAGACACCCAGATAAATGGGGATTTTTTTCGAATTTTTAATTCGTAAATTTGCTACCAATATATTTTTAGAAAAAAAGCAAGAAATAAATTTCTAGACATATTTATCAAGCAAAACAAATTGTAAGGATATTGTTTCCTTTATTATGTGGAGGCTGAGAAACCCAATGCCATAACACCTGGAAAAGGTCTTAATACCAAAAAACTAAACAAAAAATATTTTTACAAAATCCAAGCCATAGACAAATATGTTATAACGAGTAATATCTTGTGACATTACGTTTCACATTGTCTAAGTTACAATGGACACCTATTACAAAATGTTGAACTAGAAAAGATCATTAAAAAAATAACAAAAATGATGACAATAAAAATAAAAAATTGTGACTAGTAAAAGTTTTATTGTCATAAAAAGACCTACTGTTAAAAAAGTACACCTTATTATGTACGAAGCATAACCACAGTGTTAGTGTACAATGATTTATTTTAAACAAACAAAACAGGTTCTAAATTGTAATGAAAATACAACAAATATTTTCAAAACAATTTCACCACCATTGACATATAAACATGTCGTTAGATTTTTTTAAATAAAGGCGTGGATTTTTTAAAAATATTTTTTTAAGACTTGGATTTATTTCTTAGAAATACTTTTTCTAGGTGTGGATTTATTTCTTAGAAATACTTTTTCTGGGCTTGGATTTTTTGAAAATATATTTTTTAAAGGCTTGGATTTTTAAAAATATTTTTTTTCAAGGCGCGGATTTTTTAAAGAAATATTTTTCAAGGCTTGGATTTTTTAAAGAAATATTTTTCAAGGCTGGGATTTTTTAAAAATAAGCGCGGATTTTTTAAAAATAAATTGTTCAAGGCTTGGATTTTTTAAAAATATTTTTTTTCAAGGCGTGGGTTTTTAAAAATAAATTGTTCAAGGCTTGGATTTTTTGAAAATATTTTTTTCAAGGCGTGAATTTTTAAAAACAAAATTTTTCAAGGCTTGGATTTTTTAAATATATTTTTTCAAGGCGTGAATTTTTAAAAATAAATTTTTCAAGGCTTGGATTTTTATACCCTACACAACTATGTTGTCAGGGTATTATAGCATTGTGCGGCCCAAGAGTTTGTAACGCCGCGAAATATTGGTCCTAGACCCACCTTTAAGTATACCGATCGTTATATCACGACTAGCTGAGTCGATCTAGACATGTGTGTCTGTCCATTATAATTATAAACACGATACAGGCCACAGTTATGGATGGGTTCTGGCCAATGAAGACCCCTATTGTTTTTGGTAAAAGTCGGTCAATATTTAGGGGATGAAATGGACTAACAACTTTATTTTTGTCTGAAAAGAATAAGCATGCCTGTTTTGATAAAGATCGGTCAATATTTAGAAGGTCGAACGGACCCGGACTTTTGTGTGAACAATTAAAAAATTTGTATTCTCGTGGATGACATAGACCCAAGAGACCAAGAGCGGAACCAAGAGCGAACCGAAAAATAAATTTTTTAAATTGTTTTTACGAGTCGGTCTATAGGCTATGAGCCGAACATCACAACAAAACCCACGGCGTTTCCACGACAGAGGGGTCTACGATCCGAAACGACCCGAGTATTTCTCGGCCAACGTCTGTCACCTCAGCCCATTGTGTAAAAGCAATAGGGCTGCTACAACAAAACCCACGGTGAAGGGAATCTGGACAAGTAATTAGAAGGGGTATAGTGAATATTAGAAATATTGCGAAAATATGTCAGTGTAAGGAAGAGGTGCTGTTGACCTCTAATCGGGCAAAAGGGTCCAACTATAACGAATATAAATAAAAATCAGAAAGTTAGAGTTCCGTGGTAGTTGTGTAGGGTCGGCCCTGTCCGACTACACTGCTCCGCTCACTGGTTTAAAAATACTTTTTTCAAGGAGTGGATTTTTTTTAAATATTTTTTCAATGCGTTTTTTTAAAACATTTTTTCAAGGACTTTTTTAAAGGCGTGGTTTGTTTAAAGTATTCTGTTACATAGTATTTTTCTAAATGAAGTAGATTTTATTTTTATTTTTAAGCCTAGATTTTAAAAAAAAAAAATTTTATCTTTAAGAAATTAATTTTAAATTCATTAGCTTGTTTTAATTTATTTATTTTTCAACATTGTTTTTTTCCATTTAACTTTTGTACAAGATTTCAATTGTTTTTATTTTTTAATTTTGTTAAGACCTATTCATGTTATGACTTCTTCTTAAAAATATATGACCTCGCCGGTTTCGTTTGACTTAAATGTAATGCAAATAGCTCAGCATCGGGATATTTAGGATTCGATGTGTTAATCACACCGATCTCCTCCGATTCGTCATCGATGTCAATACTGTCATTTGGCGGTGGTGGTGGCTTCTTTGGTTTTCGATATTTATTGTGTTTGCTGTGATAGTAGTGCTGCTTCGACGGTGTTTTTTGCAAACGAATTGCATCCGCCACATCTAAACTCGGATCGATGCCCGTAATATCAACAATCCAATCCAAATAGGAAGCAACTTTGGTAAATGCCGCCGGATAACCACGATCACAACCGAAAATACTACCAAACGAAGTAATGCCGACAAGGACACGCTTCCTGGATGTTCGTCGCTGTAACACCAATGGACCTCCGGAATCACCATTACAAGTGGATTTTTGATAACGACCACTGGTACAAATATTTGTCGATCGATATGACAGCGGGAAGTTGTTTTTACATGTCCGCCCGTTGACAATTCTCAGTTGAACATAACGCAAAACGTTGCTTATGGCATGCACGCCTGCGGCATAGCGTCCCCAACCCGATGCTACACCCAGTTTATCTTCAAAAGTTCGATATTCGTAATCACGTTTGGGCAGCTGTATTGGTTGAATTCTTTCTAAAACAAAGAGAAATTTTAGTGGATTTTTTATTTTTTAATCAATTATGTATAAAAATGCTTATAAAAAGGCGTGTAGTTTTTAAAAATATTTTTTTAAAGGTGTGTATGTGTATGACTATGTATGCCCTACACAACTATGTTGTCAGGGTAATATATAGCTTTGTGCAGCCCCAAAAGTTTGTAACGCCGCGAAATATTGGTCCTAGACCCACCTTTATGTATACCGATCGTCATATCTCGACTAGTTGAGTCGATCTAGACATGTGTGTCCGTCCGTCTGTCCATATAATTTGTAAACACGATACAGGGCACAGTTATGGACCAATCTTCACGAAATTTTGCATGTAGGATGGGTTCTGGTCAATGAAGATCCCAATTGTTTTTGGTAAAAATCGGTTAATTAGGGAATGAAATGGACCAAATACTTTATTTTTGTAGGGTTTTCTGGTTGCTCCAGAGGCCGCAGTTATGGTCCGAACATCTTGAAATTTTACATGGAGAAGGGTATCGGGCCAAAGAATAAACATGCCTGTTTTGATAAAGATCGGTCAATATTTAGCTGGTCAAATGGACCCTGACTTTTGTGTGAAAAATTACAATTTTGTTATTCTTGGGCATATATATTTACCCCTGAAGGACATAGACCCCAGAAGTTGATAGTAGGAGTTGTTGACCTTCAAATTGATAGCAATGATATGACTTTACTCTGATGTGGGAGTTATACGTAATTAGGTAAAGGTGGTGACTATGTGCATAGTATTACTATTACTCCATTAGAGGACGGAAATGCTGATCGCTTTGAAATTGTACACGTAGTTTCGATTATGCTCAAGGACGACGCATATAGTTTTCGGTGAAGTTGACATTTCATTCAGGGGGTGCAATGCACCGAACATTTTAATTTTGTCAGATTTTCTAGTCGCTCTAGAGGCAATTAAATGCAGAACATCACATATTTTACAAGGTGAGTTGAATCTGACCAAATACTTAGAGCGGCTGTTTAGATGATGATCGGCCAATATTCCGAGGGTCAAATCAACCAAAAACTAAAGTGACCAATTTTTTTTATGGCTTAAATAATTAGACCGGCTGTTTAGATGATGATCGGTCAATATTCCGAGGGTCAAATTAACCAAAACCTAAAGCGACCAATTTTTTTATGGCGTAAAAATTCACGTCAAGAAAAAATTTTGGGAAATATGTCGGGGTTAGAAATTGCAAGGGTGCAAATATCACGAAATATTGCCCAGGCTCAGAATATAGAACCGCAGAAAGTTTTCTTTTTGTGGTAGTTGTGTAGGGTATCATATGGTCGGCCCGTCCGACTATACTGCTCCGCTCACTGGTTTAAAAATGAAATTATATACTAAAAAAATCAAGATTGTTTTTGTTTTTTTAATCAAATTAAGGTTAATTTTTTTAATAATTAAGACCCAGATTTTTTTGAAAGTATTTTTTGTTAGTTTAGAAAAAAATGTCAAGGATTTTTGTTTAAGATTGTTACCAGTAAATGGTCTGTTCCAGAACCTGCAAGAATGTAAATTTTTTTACAACTATAACATTTTTTCCTTTATGATATCGGAAAAAATAGTAAAAATTAGTAGATTCTTGCAGTACGGGAACAAACACAAAAAAAAGTATTCCAGAACATTTTTAAGGGTTGACATTTCAATTTTTTTTAAGATTTTTTAAGTTTAAATATATAATTATATAAATTTTTATTTAATTGCTATGTTTTTGGAACCTACCATTATAGCTAACCGATTTCGGCAGCCTTACAATAGCAATGTCATCCTTTAGCTTGCGCGGATTCCACGTGGGGAATATATAGAAATCACGATGATAGACCATCATGCGCAGCTGGCCAGGTTCATCGGGATTTTTAATGTCATGGGCACCCAAAAAGACCAAGGCACGGGAGGCCCTGTCATGATAATGCGATGAAACAGAAAAACAAAACAACAACAACAAACAAATAAATTATTTTCACATCCTTCAAAATTTCTTTTAGAAAATTTCCAGACACCTACATATCAACACAATGGGCAGCAGTGAGGACATATTCATGCGATATCAATGATCCACCACACCAGTACAGACCCTTTGGCCTTTGCAGCAGGAACCCGATTTGATAGGGGAAACTTGATTTGTCAGCTTCGTTGCCGCCAAATATGCGATTCATTGCTTCTTTGGTAATGTCATTGTCGGGCATCGGTTCAGTTTCTAAATTTAAGACCAAGGGTTCATCATCATTGGCATCGTGCATTGATGAGTTGCTGGGTTTCGGATTCATTGCCACCAAATACATGGGTTTCACTTTATTCCAATCCAGCGATAAAACAGTTTTCCACAATATCGTAGGTATGAGGAGTTGGATCAAGAGGTGGTAACACTTTGTCATTTTTTTGAGAATTTTTGAATATCTTTTTGAATTTTTTTTTTTTTTGAAACAAATTATTGGGTTATTTTTTTTTCAATATTATTTTCGGTAATTTTTAATATTTTTTTAAGTATTTTTTTTTAATTCTTTAATTTTTATTTTTTCAAATATCTTGTCTCATTTTGATTTTTTTCTACATTTTATTTCAGTTCTGATATTTTCCATTATAAGATTTTGTTTTTGCCACTATTTCACTTTTTTTAATTTAATTTTTTGTTATTGTGGCTTGTCGATCTGGCTGCCAGCTGATAACTTAATAATTGTTAGGCACGCGCGCTTCTCGCCAAACTAAAGCCCAGTCCGGTTGCGGCATTTGCTTTTATAAAATTCCAAACACTGATTTAGGAGCCATGATTATTTCGGACAGCCATAGTTGGGGGTATTAGTTGTAATGGTGTGGCAGGCAGGCAGAGCGGGTCTCGCTGTCCACTAGCTTTCTTAATTATCTGCGACTTTTTCCCATTACATTTGGCGAAGAAATCAAACAGAAAAAATTCAGTTCAGTGCAGTTCGACAGGTTGCATCATCTACAGACAATCAACCAACCATCCATGCCTCCAAAGGCCCATATCTATCCAAGTCTGTGTGTGTGTGTGTGTGCGTGCATGTGCCTTGAGCTATGTGGGTCTGTGTGCCAGCAATGCTCGTCCATTCATTCAGTCATACATAATATGCGAATTCGTGCGTTGTCGTGTCTATTGTTATTTACCTGACCACCAACAGCGAATTGGATCGGCCAGCACCTCTGTGGCGTTTTCATGCTATTTTGCGTGTTTGTCTGGCGGCCTGGCCCATTAAGTTATTGTGTGAGAAAAACTATGGCATTTTTCTCACCAGAAACCCTAAAATCACCCAAACGCCACCCTCCACCCTGCCTCTCTCGAATTTAATTTCGAATTAATGCAGCTTTGCGGTTTTTTGTGGCAAGCACATAATTGATCGCTATTTGAAAGGGGAATTTATCAGTTAATCCAAGCAATTAGGTTGCTTCATACCCCTAGTGAAGGGGGGAGGTATTGATTTTAAATTCAAGACTTAATTATTTGCAAGAATTCAGATATGGGAGCAATATCTAAATCTCAACCGATTTTCACAAAATTTAATACACACCATCCTGACTTCAATTTAGTAGACTTTGTAAAATTTCCCTGCAATCGGACAAACGTTGGGTTTTTGGGGGCACCATTTATATAAAATCGGAAGAAAATATATATGGAAGCTATATCCGAATCTGATACGATTCCTACAAAATTTAATACACATCATCCTAACCTCAATTTAGTAGGCTATACCAAATTTCATACCGATTGGACCAACGTTGAATATTTAGCGAACCATTTACCTAAAATCGGACGAACATATATATGGAGGCTACAGCTAAATCTGAACCGATTTCAATTAAACTTAAAATACGTCATTCTAGGCTTAATTCTTTAGGCTATGCAAAATTTCGTTGCAATCGGACAAACGTTGGGTCACCACTTACTTAAAATATATGTGGGAGCTATATATAAATCCTTAATTTGATACACACCATCCTGACTTCAATTTAGTAGAGTATGCAAAATTTCGTTGCAATCGAACAAACGTTGGGTCCTTGGGGCAACATTTGTATAAAATCGGACGAAAATATATATGGGAGCTATATCCGAATCTGATACGATTCCTACAAAATTTAATACCCATCATTCTAAGCTCAATTTAGTAGGCTATACCAAATTTCGTACCGATCGGACAAACGTTGAGTATTTAGCGCACCATTTACCCAAAATCGGACGAACATATATATGGAAGCTACAGCTAAATAGGCTTTATTCTGCAATCGGACAAACGGATTTCTTAAAATATAACTATATATAAACATACAACATACATCAAAAATTCTAGGCTTAATTCGAAAATATATATGGAGCTATGCTGATTTAATAAATTTCGTGGCAATCAGACAAACGGCTAAAATCAAACATATATATGGAAGCTACAGCTAAATCTGAATCGATTTCAAAGAAACTTAAAATACGTTATTCAAGGCTTAATTCTTTGGGCTATGCAAAATTTCGTAAAATCCGACGGTAATATATGTGAGAGCTATATCTAAATCTGAAAAATTTTCAAGAGAATTTAATGCACGTAATTCTAGGCTCAATTTTGATACGCTGTACAAAATTTTATGTCAATCGGACAAATATTGATTTGGTGCAAAGTGTGGTGTAGGATAGTTATAAATTCGGATAACCCAAAAGTTCGGATAACCCAAAAAAAAAAAAAATAATAATAATTCAAAAACCTTTTAAATCAAAATCTATATATTTTTTAAAATTTTTTTAAATCACATTTCTTTTATTGACATAACATTCAAAATCATTTATTTATTGACAACACCCGATTTCTCTTCGATCCAATCCAAATAGGAAGTGACACGAGTGAATACTCCTGGCCAGCCCTTTTCACAACCCAACCGAATGCCAAAGGAGGTGGCACCAATAACAACATTCTCGCCATTCTGCTTGTATACCAATGGACCGCCAGAATCACCATTACAGGTTGACTTTTTACCCTTGGTGCTGATGCAGATCATCTCATCGGTAACGGAACCCAAATAGTAGGTTTTGCAGGTGCTTTGTTTCATAACGGGAACTTCAATGTAACGCAAAAATTGAGAGATGCTAGTGGCTGCATCGCTGTCACGACCCCAGCCTGAGGCCCAAACCATATCACCTTCATAGCTGGAATACTGACCATTCATTTTAGGCAGAACAGCAGGTTGGATGCGATCATTGAACTCAATGGGCACCGGCAATTTGACCAAGGAGATGTCATTAGCCATGGTTTCGTTATCCCATTGTTCGTGAACAATAATATATTTTTTGGAGGAATAGATCCGTTGCTGACCCTTTTCATTGGCATTGCGAACATCAATGGCGCCCAAATAAACGGTGATACCATCAGCACCATCGGTACAATGGGCAGCGGTTAAAATCCAACGATCCGAAATCAGGGTACCACCACACCAGAAGCCTTGGTTACCGAAGTCCAAACTCAAGCCGACTTGATAGGGGAATTGTCCAGCCTGTGCCAATTCACCATTGGTAATGCGTCCCTCCAATTCTTCCATGGGCATGAGGGGCAGCAAGGGGAGTTTTGGCTCCATTGGTGGCACAATGCCAGCCGACACGACGGCCACAAGCAGACTCAGAGCGATGAACGATTTCATTGTGGATGCACTGAAAGAGTTGACTGATGTTGTGGTTCTCAGTCATAGGGTTTTTATAATCGATCAAAAATTTTCAAAATTATATTTCCCGAAAATACCGGAATTCATTATCTTATCTAGAAATCAGTGTCGAAAATTTAGAATGAAATCAGTATGGCTTTTCCCCCAAAAAACCTCTCATCATAAATATGCTTCCAATCGATAATTAATCTAACACAAGTAATTAATAGTTCGAAAAGTTAGATTATCAGCAGAAAACCCTACTGACCTCTTGTACTGATAAGCCTCAAATCCGAGTGACCGTTTTTTAATGGCCTTGTACAGAAAAAAAGTGGCCTATAAAACCCCTGTCATGGTGAAGCACAACATCAGTCAACTTTTCAACTCTATTCGCAATGAAATCGTTCATCGCTCTGAGCCTTTTTGTGGCTGTGGTTTCCGCTGGCCTTGTGCCACCAATGGCACCAAAACTCCCCTTGCTGCCCCTTATGCCTTTGGCAGAATTAGAGGGACGCATTACCAACGGTGAATTGGCACAGCCTGGACAATTCCCCTATCAAGTCGGCTTGAGTTTGGATTTCGGTGACATGGGTTTCTGGTGTGGTGGTACCCTGATTTCGGATCGTTGGATTTTAACCGCTGCCCATTGTACCGATGGTGCTGATGGTGTCACCGTTTATTTGGGCGCCATTGATGTCCGCAATGACAATGAAAAGGGCCAGCAACGCATCTACGTCTCCAAGAGAAATATTGTGGTACACGAAGCATGGAATCCCGACCTCTTGAGGAATGACATCTCCTTGATCAAAATGCCTGTGTCCATTGAATTCAATGAACGCATCCAACCTGCTGTTTTGCCCAAAATGAATGGTCAATATTCCACATATGAAGGTGATATGGTTTGGGCTTCTGGCTGGGGTCGTGACAGTGATGCGGCCACTAGCATTTCTCCACTTTTGCGTTACATTGAAGTTCCTGTTATGAAGCAAAGCACCTGCAAAACCTACTATTTGGGTTCCATTAACGAGAATATGATCTGCATCAGCACCAAGGGCAAAAAGTCAACCTGCAATGGTGACTCTGGCGGTCCATTGGTATACAAGCAGAATGGTGAGAACATCGTGATTGGTGCTACTTCGTTTGGTATCGCCTTGGGTTGTGAAAAGGGCTGGCCAGGTGTATTCACTCGTGTCACCTCCTACTTGGATTGGATTGAAGAGAAATCGGGTATTGCTAATAAGTGAATGGATTTTGAATGTTGAAAAATATAAGTAATAAAAAAATATAATTGAGGAAAAATGTTCCTGAGATTCTCATTTTAACCTTTATATATATTTGAATCGATTTCAAAAAAACTTAACACAACGTATTCTCGGCTCAATTTGATCGGCTGTGCAAATTTTCGTCGTAATTTTGTGTATTTTTTGAAGAATATCGATTGAATATAAATTTAATGATACGGAGCTATATCTAATTCAGAAAATTTCAATTTCAAGAAAACTTAACACACTGCATTATTGACTCAATTTTGATAGGCTGTGCAGAATTTCGTCCCGATTGAACTAACATAGGGACTTTTTTGCACCATTCCGGAAACATCGGTCAAAAATGTTTATGGGACTATGGCTATATTTGAACCGATTTCAGCAAAACTTTACACACACATTTACACATTATGGACTCAATTCGGTAGGTGCAAAATTTGGTTATAATCATTCTACCTTCAATTGGGTACATTAGGCAAAATTTCGTAGCAATCGGACAAACATTGTGTATATGGTGCACCATTTACATAAAACCGGACGAACATATAATGGAAGCTATAGCCAAATCTCAACCGATTCCAACAACATTACATATACATCATCCTAACATCAATTTAGTAGGCTATGCAAAATCGAACAAACGTTGGGAACTTGGAGTACCACTTACCTAAAATCGAAGGGAAAATATATGTGAGCTATAATTAAATCTGAACCGATTCTCATTATACCCTACACAACTATGTTGTCAAGTTTGTAACGCCGAGATATATTGGTCCTAGACCCACCTTTTAGTATACCGATCGTCATATCTCGACTAGCTGAGTCGATCAAGACATGTGTGTCCGTCCGTCCGTCCGTCTGTCCATTATAATTTGTAAACACAATACAGGCCACAGTTATGGACCAATCTTCACGAAATTTTGCATGTAGAATGGGTTCTGGCCAATGAAGATCCCTATTGTTTTTGGTAAAAATCGGTTAATATTTAGGGGATGAAATGGACCAAATACGTAATTTTTGTCGGTTTTTCTGGTCGCTCTAGAGGCAGCAGAAATGGTCCGAACATCACGAAATTTTACATGGAGAAATGGATCGGGCCAAACAATAAGCATACCTGTTTTGATAAGACTTGTGTGTGAAAAATTACAAAATTTGTATACTATGGCGTATATATTTACTCCTGAAGGACATAGGCCCGAGTAGTTGATAGTATATCCAAGAGGAGTTGTTGGCCCTTAAATTGATACCAATTGTATTGTCGTATGTACTCGGATGTGGAAGTTACACTTAAATATTTACATGTGTTTACGTATTCAGATATTATTTAGTAACCCATTACCACAGTAGAGAGCGGAAATATAGCGCTGATCGCTTTGAAATGTTCCATGAGGTTCCAGTTATGGTCAAGGACAACGCCTATAATTATTGGTGATGATCAGATAATAATATTGGGATGAAGTGGACCGAAAACTTAATTTTTTGTGTTTTTTCGAGTCGATGCCAATAATAGGCCGAACATCACAACACAATCTAAGGTGAAGGGAATCTGGACAATTTATTAGAAGGGCTGTGCTGAATAGGAATACTAATATTCTGAAAATATATCAGTGTAAGAAAGAGGTGCTGTTGACCTCTAATCGGGCTAGAGGGAGCAAATATCACGAAATATTGCCCCGGCTTCAAATAAACATCGGCAGAAATTTGAGTTCCTTGGTAGTTGTGTAGGGTATAGTATGGTCGGCCCCGTCCGACTATACTGCTTCGCTCACTGGTTTCAATATATACCTCCTCCTTGGGCCAAATAAATGAACGGTGCCAAATTTCAGCTCATTCCCTACACGTGACATACAAAAATACATGGATAGTCGGAAAGTTGGACGAACTGACATTAATGGACTCAGAAATTGATTGGTTGGTTTGAGTTTCCGAGGATGGATAATCCTTGCAAAAAGAAATACTTTCAAAAATTTATATTATACAAAATATTGGTCCTAGCCTAAAATGGTCAAAATACCTCTGGTCATTGAATATGAGGATCCAACTCAAACTGTTGTTGTTGTTTTTCATAACATTACTGGCCAATATTGCTTTGGTCTGGGCTTCGGGTTGTGGTCGTGTCAATTATGCAGCCACTAGTAACTCAAAATGTTTCCATTACATTCAAGTTCCTATCCTCTATGAAACAAAGTATCTGCAACAACTACCATTTGGGCGCCATTACGGAAAAATTGATCTGTATCAGTACCAATGCAAGTTGAACTATTAAGGCGAATTTTTTAATATTTAATTTTTTTCATCAAGTTTAACAACTTTGAATTGTGACTTATTTCTACTGCACGAATTCGCAATAATATTTTTTTTCGGATTTCCCTTTTTTAAAAAAGGGAAATCCAATTAATTGCACGTTAATATTTCCGATTATCTAAAGTGGACAATAAACAAATAGAAACATGATTTACAAGTCATTTCAATATCACACGAAAAAAAATGTCCAAATATGTTATTTTTATTGGCAGATAAGAAGTTTAGCTTCTGGAAAATCCACTTAGGCAGCCCCTGATAACGTTCGCATAAGCTATAAACTTTAAACGCCAGACTATTTGGGGATCTTGGGAAACTCCCAGCGAAAAAAAATTCTATTGAAGTTGGAAAGATAATGAAAACCAAATTATAACATAAGACTTATCAGAAGAAGAGGTCAGTAGGGTTTTTTGCTGTAACTCTGACGTTGGCCAAGAAGTGGCCAAGTGTGACCGAACTCGTTATACTGTGTAGTCGATTTGTTATCAATTTAACGGAAATTGGTGTTGACAGTTTTTCTTTCAACTATACATCGTTTCAATTTTTGTTGACAAAACTTTCTGGATAAGATAGGGGATTTTGTAGTATCAGATTTTTTTTCCAAAAATTGGGTTGGAACATCTTCATCCATTCTCACAACATGACCTAGCCAACGTAGTCACTGCAGCTCAATACGTCTACCAATGTCGATGTCCGAGAATAGCTGGTACAACTCATGGTTCATTTGACGGCGATATTCACCGTCAACGCAGATCGGCCCAGAGATCTTTCGGAGAATTTTACACTCAAACACTCCAAGCGCTGCCTCATCTGCTTGCGCAAGTACCCATGCTTCAGATCCATATAATAGCACGGGTAGTATCAGGGTCTTGTAAAGTGTGAGTTTGGTCTGGCGGTAGGTGGCCTTGCTTTTGAGTTATTTGCTTAGACCATAGTAGAATCTGTTGGTCATCATTATCCTTCTCTGAATTTCATAATTGATGTCATTCGTTTTGTTTATGGCGATACCAAGGTATATAAAATCTTTGACTACCTCGAAGCTGTAGTTGTCAAGTTCCGCAGTTGGTCCGAGTCTACTGGACGTCTTGCGCGTTGATACCATCAGCTTGGTCTTCTCGCTGTTTACTGCCAGACCCAATTTGGCAGACTCGTTCTCAATTTGTTCAAAGGTGGCTGTTACCGCTCTCAATGTTCGACCCATTATGGCGATGTCATCGGCGTAGGGGAGTAACATGTGTTGTTTGGTGTACAGAGTGTCATTTCTGTTCATTATTCCTCTCGTATGACCTTTTCCAGCAGGATGTTAAAAAGGTCACACGACAAACTTGTCCTCGTTCGGTATTAAAGGTATTAAAGGTATTAACTGCTGAGCTCGTGCCATTTAAAGTTATCCTGCATAGCCGTATTAATTTTGCAGGAATGCCGAACGTAGACATGGCTTTAAACACCTCTGAACGGATAGGGCTGTCGAATGCGATTTTATAGTCGACGAATAGGTGGAATGGGTCGATGTGTTTTTCGTGGATTTTTTTCCAGGATTTGGCGCAGAGTGAAAATCTGGTCAATGGTGGATTTGCCAGGTTTAAAGCCGCATTGTTATGGTCCAATAATGGCATTCACCATTGGCTTCAGTCGTTCACACAGTACGCTGGATAGCACTTTAGGTGCGATGAGGACGTCAAATTTCCGTGTTACATTAGATCGCGCCTTTGCTGCTACATTAGACGGGTGCGTACCTTGGCTGCCACAAGGTAATGGTCCGAATCGATATTCGCTCCTCGGATCGTTCGGACATCTAAAACACTGGATGAATGCCTTCCGTCTATCACAACATGATCGATTTGTTTTCTCGTTGTTCGATCGGGAGAAATCCAAGTGGCCTTATGTATATCGAGATGCTTGAATCTGGTGCTGCTAACTACCATGTGTTTTGCTGCCGCGAAGTCAATCAACCTCATGCTGTTGTCTGATGTTTCTTCATGGAGACTGAATTTTCCGACGATGGGGCCAAAGATATTTTACCTTCAGATTTTTGCATTAAAATCTCCTTGAAAAGTTTTAACGTCATGGCCCGGGCAGCAGTCATATGCTGTTTCTAGGCGCTCGTAAAATATGTCTTTGGTCTGTTCATCTTTATCTTCGGTCGGAGCATGGGCGCAAATAAGACTGATGTAGAAGAACTTCGTTTTTATACGGATTATACCAATTCGCTCATCTACTGGAGTGAATCTGAAAACGAGGACTTTTATTCTCCTATTAACCATAAATCCGCAGCCAAATTCATGTCTCGTTTCATGGCAGCTATAATACAGGGCATAATCATATGTTTAACTTACGTCAGTACCTTTCCATCGCATTTCCTGTAAGGCTTTGTACTTCTTGAGTTCATCCGCCAAAGCGAACCCTGCGCCTGTTCTGTACAACGTGCTCACATTTCAAGTGCAGATTCGCAGATTGTGGTCCTTTATACGTTTGCGGGGTTCGTCAACATTAGTTGGGTTTGGTTTTCTTTGCTTTTTCATAGTAGGTTGGGTTTTCCGAGAGTGCGCAACTAACCCCACGCCTCAATCCATTTTTTATAGTTGTTATGGGTGAACTCGCGGCACATATTGGCTCACTATTTCATCGGGTGATGAAAATAGCTCTCCAGGTGGTACCGCGGCGAGTTCAGTGTCCACAATTAAGATGAGAG